AGATAAAAACCAACTTTTGCAGTGGTTTGTACATACTGTTCCATCGGTGTTTTTGAAGCTTACACAAACCAACTTAAAAAAATTGCATATAGGAGATAAAATATAGATACGTTGTCCTGCAAGGCTGTAAAGGCTTATATTAATGTGTGGACGTGGATATTATAATTGCAGTTGGAATTTTAGTATAATATATTATATGTGATATGTATGGATATGTGGATATGATTACGAAAGGAAGCGCGCGTATAACATCTTAATTAACAGTCCAAATGAACTTGAACGCGCCAGTCCGTGACTTTGACTTTGATTTTGAATATCAGGAGTATATTGAAAGGAATAGGAATGGAAGGCGATATTGGGAAAGAGGTATTCCTTATTCTACATAATACTGGAAATTTTGAGCCCTTTCACCAATGGGCACGTTTTTATAGATTGTAGACTGTACATAAGAAAATAATTGCCGAAGCCAACTTATGGAAACTGACAAAATTATTAGCTTTGGGCTAAATAATATTTTAGTTAGCTGGATATCGCGTGACACCATAGCAATAAGTAATTTGGGTAATCGATATCTATATGACGTAAGCGACTACAACCTTTAGGTTGCGGTCGCTTACGTCATTTTTATACGCTCTACGCAAGTGTATGAATTCAAAAAAAAAAAAAGAGAATCGAATCCTTGGAGTCGAGTCCTTGCAATTTCGAGTTTGTCGATTAGAGGAATATGCTAGACCGTGTCTATCAATCCAAAGTAAAATATTCAAGAGTAGCAAATCTCGTTTCTACTGGTTGTTATTGATATGCTGATATGTTGTTGATATGCTGAAGTTAGCCGTATACAACCAGACGTTTTACTTTATCTAACACAACGAACTAACACAAGTCTTGTTGCGTTGTGTGTTGAACTGCCAACAAAATTTGTTGCCCACCAAAAAAAAATATCGTCCACGTCATCACATGTCATAGCTTCCTAATTTTGGTTACTATATAGACCAAAAAAGTTATGTAGTTATTTTTAGTACCTACAAACAAACGGCGTACGTATATTCAGCGTACGTTTTAAAACATTAAAGTTTCATATTTTATCTACAAATGCGTCATTCAACTTCTTTATCATGTTTAAATGAATTAAAAAATACAGAAATTGTGCCTTCAATATAGGAAAATGAGATTTTGTCTCCAGGCAAACGGCAACAACAGGAACATTCTTCGAAGTCTTCACGTACACCGTCGCCGGTGCCGTCGGGGGTGGTGTCGCCGGTATTGGCCCAACAGAACGGTGACTCGTTCCGACCGATATTGAGGACACCGCCGCCGAGCCGAGTCGGTCCGCCACCATCGCCACCGGTGCCTACAAATCCTGTGGCACCCGTACCTCCTGAACCGACGAAGCCAATGCAGTTGATGCCATGTCAAGTGTGTGGACGAACATTTGTACCCCAGTCGCTTGCCAAACATGTTAAAATATGTCAGAAAACTGCAGTCAAGAAGAGGAAATCTTTTGATTCATCAAGACAGAGACGAGAAGGTATGTTTTAAATAACTTTCCAATATACAGATATTAGACCACGGTTAAGTAACGGTAGATTTGAGATTGATTGATCGATGAATATGTTAAATACTGCATACCTTCCAAGATAAGTAAAGATTAATGTAAAAATATCCTGATATCAACCTCTATCTATGAAAGTGTAGTGGGTATAAATATCATGTACAAATAAAAATGTTTTAAAAAATGTTTGCCTACTTATCACAAAATAAAATAAAAAACCTTTTTATTTAGTAACATGCTTACTGTTCCAGTAATCATGTTACTAAATAAAAAAGATCTATATAATTTGATAAGTGACAAAAAGAAAAAGGCAAATCAGTCAAAAAATTTTTGTAAATGATTTTTAAGTAATTAAATGAAACAGTGGTTAGATAATACTTACCATCCATCCATCCTTGTCATAAGTTACACACTTTTTAGTTCTATTGGGTTAATTGTTTAGCTCCAGTGGGGAGTTGCATTGGGTTATTTATATAGTCCTGCACTTCATCATTATCCAGTTTAGGTTGTGGGTTTCCTTACTAACTTTTTTATTCCATTCTATCGTTTTTGTTTACAAATGTTTCGTAGGTATTGCATGCCTCGAGTTTGTATGAGAATACGTTTTGCATTCATAGGTATTAATTTTTAGTTTATTATTATTAGTAATAATAGTATTATTTGGTATGCCTTAAAAACATTTACTTAGAGCCTGTACTATATTATGTATGTACATTTGATGCAGTTGTATGTTTCATAAGATAAAATTTGTGGTAATTAAAGTGCCGAATATAAAAGCAAATAAAAGAATCACTTAATAAAATAGACTAGCGGTTCTATTGAATTACGTTATTGAGATACAAGTTTAAAGTTGATCATATCTTTCACTCATATTATCCTTTCATTCCTTCGGCATTATTTTTGTTATGACATTGTGTCCTCATGAATTTACTTTTAAATGTAGGGCGAGATGGTGCTCCTTTTTGCCTTACATTTACCAGTATAAAACCATATTATACCACTATAAGCGCATAGTACATATTATAATGACGATTTATTTGATCGAATTATCAAGTTTCTTCATTTTTGCGCATGGTTATAGGCCAGCCAGACGCCTCGTCTTAGGGAAAGTCCCTGCTTTATCGACAGTTCCTCCAAACATACGTAATCATACTATTACAGCAATTTAACAGAGAGTGAGAGGCAAACCATACATTTATTTTATGAAACTTTGAAAACAGGCAGTGATAATGATATGATAGTAAATGGCATGTTTTATTTTATGTTACTGATTTTATCTTTGTTTTTGTGGGTAATAAGGACTGATCGCGGCGAACGGTGCTAATTCCGGTGAGTGGGTGAACGGTTTACATATTCTCTGCCATTCATACTTAACTGGACTTCTGCCATTGTGTGCGATCGTTTTACTACCACTATCACAAACCTTCGTACTAATGCATTAGAAATTGTAATCTACTCGCTAAACACTGTACTGTTTAACCAAAAGGGTAGCTATGCGACTTGATGCGATAAAAAATATATTTGAAAAAAACCGCCATAAGCTGGTTATTATTAACCTATAATTTACTTAGTAGTTGATCAGTGTAGGTACACGTAAATTAACTTCTTAGCAGGGATTTTTATGTCCAGTGGCTTTTGTTATATGAACAGCTGTATTACTATTCTAAAAAGATAAATATATAATGGCTAAGAATAATTTTTATTTAGTGACATCATAAAAGATAACAGTAACTGAGGTCGCAATTATCACACATTTAGTTACCCACAATCCCGCTCAGTGACTAGAGAAAATCTTCCATTCTTCCATAAGATTATTTTTATAATAGTTTTCGGCGGTAGCATTATGTTCATGGCGTTGTGTTCCAATGAATAGTGCTTCTATAGTTTCTTAAAAAAAAAAAATATAAATTAAAAATTAAAATTATGTTTACGTTTAGTGTCATAATGTCAGTACCCTTTTCTGTCTGTGACGTTATTCTGTGATCGTGATTGACACGGGGATAGGTATTTATAATATTATTATTTATTCAAAGCACTGTGATAATATATGTATACCTAATAATACTCGCTCTTTCCACTTGAATCCTCTGACTCAATCCCCCAGGGGATTGTACAATACTCACTATTGCACTTGGATCTCCTGTGCTGGGGACTCAACAAGTACCTACTAATAAATTTATTTCCTTTTTAGTCCCCTCTAAAATAATAAAACAACCTTTCTTTTATACTACTTATAAACCAAAAACAAAAGGTTGACTAAATAGCAAATAAAGTTTATTTATTTAAACATTTCTAGGAATTGACCGACTGTGATATTAGCGTTCATGTGCGCTCTGTGGAGCCCGCGCGCTTTTTAGGGAGTAGAATGAGAACACCGTGGTTCCCACACATGAAGGGGGTCATCTACAAGCCGTAGATGGCCCGGGATACCAGGGATTTCCTTCCTAGAGTATACCTGGTAAACCAGTAGGTGGTATCCGAAAATAAAAGGGAATCGGAGTAGAGTGTTGTGTAATCCCCTAGGGAATCGAAGTGGAATAGTGAGTGTTGTACAATCCCCTGAGATATTAACCCAGGAAATCCATGTGGAAAACGGGTAAAGCTAAATTAGATACGGCTAGATAACAACACCAATTATATATAAGGACCTACCTCTACTATTTTTTGTCTCTATATGAACAAGTACTTTATAGACCTAAAAGTATTAACTATGACTAGCAATTAACTGTTTTCATACAGTAAAATAACTCTAAATGTAGTCTACGATTAAATTCACATGTCTATACTTATAATTACTTGATGAATATAATATTTTATGTAGGAAGATATGTACCTAGGTATTTGGCTAGAAAACAACAGACAATCAACGTGACCAAAAAGGAGCAGAAACTCAACTCCAATTGGGGCCGGAAAACCAAATTTAAACAGTTGTTGTGTCATTGAGTGATGTCACTAAGATAAACACATTAACACACAGCTAAAGATGCTGCATTTAGGGGAAAATAACTTAAAAGCAATAATTTTAGAGCTATTGGCTTTGATGATCAATATTTAAAGATACTATCACAATTTACCAACCGATGAAAAGATTAACCGTGAACGTCCTCGAACAACAAGCTTAGAAATATTTATGTAAATTTACATTGTCGCGTTCACAGTATAACATCCTAACACGGTTCCAACGAGGCCTGTATTTGCATTTTGTTTGTATACGTTGTACCCATTCGTTTAGCAACCTACGTCCTCGTAAAACAACTGTCTTAGTGGCATTATTGTAAGCATCATGGGCTTCTAATAAAGTCTTTAGAAATGCACGGGTTGTCTGGCACGCCTGTTACTGAACATCTGGTGGCATGACAAGTGTTTGTTCTATAATTTAGTTTAGTGTGACCAATACGGTTCTGTTCCTAATTATATGTTTGAATATGCACTACATAGCACTGTAGAAATGTGTGGTATTTAACTTGCAATGAGTGGGTGTAGTTTTGTGATGTGAGCACTGTTTGAAGAACGCTAAAGCTTAATCTTTCTAATTAACCAAAACTTATACGATACTTCACAATTAATTGAAGGGCATGATTCTTTTTATTGTGTTGAGTTTTTAAGCATGATTATGTCGGTGCGAGTCCATAGATTTTGATTGTTCCCTTTTGAGTTTCCAAAGGTGCTGAACTTCGCTAAAGAGCAGCGATAACAATCTTATTACGTCGACTATTTATTATTTCAGCAGTCTTTCACAAATGCAGCCTAATTTTTATTTTTATTAACAGTCCCTAAATGTGAAACATGATTAAATTTCTGTATACTTTGTACATTGGATATCACATCAGATCAACGGCCTTTAATAGTCTACTGCTGGACATGGCGTCTTCTTAGAAATAAGGTTTTGGCCTTCTATACCACGCTGGCCAGACGCGTTGGTATAAGGTTTGTGTCAAGTTTTTCTTCTCTTGACAGTGCTGTTGTGTTGCGGAGTTGACTCCCTTAGACGGCTCTTACAGGTTGAATAGGAGTGGTGACAATCCGTATTCTTAATCCGTCACCACACGGACACATTAATATACTTAGTATTAAAATTACTAGATAGATAAGGATCTACTTAGGGCTATAGGGGGGGCTATCGCATATGTATGTATAATTGATCCATATGTATAATTGATTGAAATTGATCCTGACTCATCACTAACTGCTTAAATTGTATTGTCTCTTTTGATTAACTTTGAAAACTGTCGCTAAATGTTATACGATTTCATGAAATGTCGTAAGAATAAAATTGAGCTGCGTGAATGTTATAATTGTCGACTAAACATGCGCTGCTACTGGAATCAACTGCTCTAAAGTGAGAACTGTATATATTTGCAACTAAATAACTATAAAAGATAAACGCATATTTAAATTATTTAGGTTTCTTTGACAGTAGAAGAAAACTAAACAGGTTAAATCATATTCATGGACTCGCTATCAGATAAAAAAAAATGAAATAAATATTTTTTGTTAATATTGTAGGTACAGATTTGGAGCAATTCTTGCCCAAGAACTTTGGCCTTCCGGAAAACAGTCCTTTTTTAGAAAAAAGCCCTCCGCCAACGGCGAAGCCTACGCCGAAACCGAAACCTCAATCTGTTCGAACTTCTATGACAAAGGTGAGTAGGTGCACATCTGCTTTTATAGTTAAGACATCACTACCTGCCTCATAAGTATATTAGTTTATTTCTATTTAGAGCTATCAGTATCATAAACATATAATTCGATATTCCTTCCTGCCTTAGATATTAGATAAAAATCCCACTTACAGTATTCAATTTTCTTTCGCTTCTGATGCTAATGACGAATTGCTTCGTTATTGCAACATGCCTACGTCACGTTTTTCTTTTTTTATGGTATAGGGGGGCTAACGAGCAGACGGGTCACGGGATGGTAAGCAACTTCCGTCGCCCATGGACACCTGCAACTCAAAAGTCACAAGTGCGTTGCTGCCCTTGGAGGCCCGCCCGCTGGAGTCAGCGATATTGGGGATTTGGGCTCCGGTAACCTCGCGCACTCAGTGAAAGGCAACGAAAGAATTGCTTAACACCGGTTTTATTTTAGGCCGTGGTATCACTCCCGTCGATCCAACCCATACGTGCTTCAGAAAGGAGAAACTTATTCATAGCTACTTATGCTGTCAAATACCTCGTTTTTGAAATTAAATTTACCTTACTATTTTTAAGCCTAATTTACACTGCTTGAATGCTAGTGCTGAGTTTGCTAACGTATTAGCCCCAAGCACAAGTTTTTCATGAAGTCAGCTACTAAAGTTGCTCTATTCTTTTATAGTAACATAATTATATAAGTTGGAGGCGCGATTTAGGAATTTAAGACTTCAATTTCTTTTTACCTTGAAAAGCCAAATGATAAATATAGCTCTATGTTATCAGTGTTAGTAGTAATATATCAATGTATTGGTTCAAATAAAAAAAAACTTATTAATATAAATATTTACTTGATAATTAAAAAAGATTCAAAACAGAAAACTAATCTCGATCCACACGTTTTAAAAACATGCTTAAACAATTTGATTGTTTGCGCTAATTAACGCTCATACATGTATGTGGCTGGTATTTTGTGAAGCATACTTGTGTATATAATGCGTAATACATCTTAAAACCAATGACTTTCAATTTAATATTAACTATAAAGACTGATAGTAAGCTATACTATAGTGCTTAAGTACCTATACTTAAATATAGACTACAGTGGACTAAATTATGAAAACTCGGCCCCGGGTGTCGAGTTGCCCCGATTTTTTTTTTTTATCATTCATCAAATCGTCCCAGGAACAGTCGACAAAGTAATGTTTATTATAATTTTTATTAAAATAAAAACAAATATATATTTTTAATTATACATTATTATAAATGTGAAAGTGACTTTGTTTATTACGCTGTCACACCTGAATCACTAAACCGATTTTAATAATTATTTCACCATTAAAAAATCTACATTATCAGCAAGTAACATAAGCTACATTTTACAGCGATAACCGACATACACGCGGGCGGAGTCACCTGCACAAGCTAGTATATTATAATTTTTGTTTTATTCTATTAGGTATAACAGATGTTTAACATTGTACCTAATAGCATAATGTTAAACGTCTGTTGGGGATTTGCATTGCTTTACTAAATAATCCTCGGGACGTCACATGGCACACTAGGTTCTGGTTTTACTAATCCATCGGTATCTGTGTATCAGTATCACTAAATAATCTTAAAAATCTTTTCCGTATTGCCTTTTGTATTGCATTTACTATAAGACTGTTAACATCGTGAGAGAATCATACTTCGGGACATATGGGCCAGGCTCGACCGGAGTGACCATACCACGTCACGTCACGAGTGGGAGTACCACGGCCTTCTAGAGAACCGGTATTAAACAGTTCTTTTGTTGCTTCTCACCGTGTGAGTGAGGGCACAAAGCGCGGCAGTGCACTTGTGATCCTGGAGTAGTAGATGTCCGTTGGTGGCGGTTGTCACTTACCATCAGGTGACCTAGATGCTATTGCCCATCTCCCTCCCATCCCCCCCCCCCCCCCCCCTATACAATAAAAAACAGTTAATAGTACCTAAGTTTCCCTCTGTCCACTAAAACTGTTTGAAAAGATCCACGATTGATTTTTGTGCACTTTCATGTCCACTAATACAGATTTTTACGAGAAATTAATCTTTTAGGACATGCAAGTTTCGAAAAAGCCTTTTTACTAGTTAAGCTGGCATACAGAAATACGTCAAAAAAGTATGTACCTACTAATATTAATTTAATAGTTTTAAGAAAAAGATCTCGTAATAAAAAAGGCGAGTTTATTATGAATACCCAAGTGCAGTTAGTTAAATGATGACTATTTTGTATTTTTCCATCGATTTATTTTTTCTGTACTGTCAATAAAATTACAATAGAATGTGAAAGAAAAACGTTACCACCACTAATCTATAATGAATTTTTCGAAACTAGTATATCCTAAAAGATCCGTTCCTCGTAAATATCTACTGAGTGTATTAAAGTTGACATGAAAGTGCACAAAAATCCATGATAGATCTTTACAATGGATTTTAGTGAACAGAGGGCTAAGTTTCATGTCGAAATGTACATGTGTAACAATTTTCTGGAATATGCATCTTACGTTACACTCTGGTGTAAAATTCCTCAACATGCAAGGTTTCCTCAATGTGGATCCGCGAAGTCTTAGAAAGTTTATTGTCAAGACACTTCAAAAAATTCACATTTAAGACACCTTGCCATTAGTTTTCACATGTAACACGTGTTATGGAAAATAAAATACACGTTTGTTGTATTTCAGTCGACCGCGGAACTACAAAGATGTCCGCACTGCAACCGAGCCTTTGGTGTACGCGCGTTCGAGCGACATGTGGAGTGGTGTGCAGACAAAGCGAAGATTTTGCCCGCCGCGCCTGTACAGCCTCCGGCTATAGCTAATGCCAAGCAGCGCCTTAACGCACGCACGCAGTACAAGGCACCGCTCGTGACACGACGCCGGTACTTCATTGTCTTTTAATTGTGAACTGTTGAAGACTATTAGTATTAAGTAGTCCTGTTTCACTGTTACAAATATTTGATGCCCATCTTTCTGGCCCTATGATGCCAGAGATCCGTTTTTGAGTACCACAATAATATGTGTACAATTATTAAACTTGTTGGTGTCTCAATTAAAACTAAGCGAAACTAATGTGTCGTCCGATATCCGTGTGGTGAAGGAATAAGAATCTTCGTATTCTTATTCCTTCACCACACGGATATCGGATTTTATGAATACGGAATGTCAACACCTCTATTTATCTAGTGGGTGTCGTCAAATGCGACTTAGAGAGCAAATAACGCAGGACAACAGCACTGCAAAGAGAAGGAAACTTAACACAAACTCTATACCAAGCAGTCTGGCCAGTGTGGTATAGTAGGCCTGAACCTCCTTTCTAAGGAGAGGCCTATGTTCAGCAGTAGACTATTAAAGGCTGTTGATGTGATGAGGGTAAACTGATGATATAACATTGATTACCTTTTAAAGACTGTAATTATGAACACATTATACCATAGGAAAGCCATGCTTTGGCATATACGGCTAGCTCGACCGGAGTGAGACCAGGGGCCTCACAGAAAACGGTTGTTATACAATTTTGTTGCTTTTCACTAATGACATTACATAAAAACAAGGGCAGATACGCCACCAACGCACAAAACGCGAGGGTTCTAATTAGGACCACTGCGAGCGAGCGCACATACTAATTACTTCGAGAAAATTCATAAAATGCCTACCTGTGTATTCCGAAATTGCAAAAATTACGTCAAAAAGTAAATAAACATAAAGGAACATCATACCACAAATAAGTGTATTTTTGTTCTAAATTGCATTAATAAATGTATGTACGGTTATGGAACAAATATTTTAGGCGTGCAGTATGAATATAACGTATCTTCCTTAACATATCATTGCTTTTCACCAACTGAGTGAGGAACCTGGGGAGTTCTAGGGAACGTCCTCCTCCCCTCACTCAAAGGACGGCAACGCGCTTGTGACTGTTTGAGTTGCAGGTGTTCATGGGCAGCGGTAGTCGCTTACCTTAAGGTGACCTGTCTGCTTGCTTACTCCCTATTCCATAAATAAAACACTAGAACTGAGTAAGTACATTCAAATACTATACAATCATTTTTTCTTATTATAGATCTTCACAAACCCGCGACAAGTCTTCAAACAGTAGGTCGGCGTCTATAGATTCGTCACGAGGTATCTCTCCAACGCCAGCGCCGCGAGAATGCGGTGACTATAAACACGGACGTACTCGAGCTTCAGGTATAATTATTTTTACATTTTTACTTGCGCAGGTTATACACATTTAGGTATAAACCCCTGTTACGAATTGTTCATCCCTAGACGGACGGTGATAGTAATATCTAAGTCATGATCACACACACAATATGTAAAACAAAATGTTAACAACTTACAACAGTTTTACTTCATTGCTAATCGCGAAAGTCATTCGCCATTTATGTACTTAGCCGACAATATTGCAATAACGCTGACAGTCATCAGTAATCTAATTCTTGTATCAAATACTTGAAAAAAATAACAACACTTAACCTTATAAAGTTTAAACCAAACTGCTTAGTTTCGTACAAAAGAGAAAATATTACTGTATCAATTCTTATTTTTATACTTATTTAAAAAAAAACGACCCTGTTGAAATAAACTCCAAATATAATTATACTTCTCACTTTAGCTTAAAGAAAAACTCTGCTTATTTACAGAATCTGCTTCTAGCAACGATTGCCATGAAGAAACGTCTCCTCACGTACCTGTGATTAGAAACTCTAGAAATGTGCAAAACAACTTGTCAGGCGATGCCAATGTAAAAGCAAGACAAGCGAGATTGGCAAGAGACCTGAGCAGCACAAGGTACCAATATAGGATATATAAATTAAATATACATTTAGTTACGTACCAAATAAGGGGAAAGGAAGGCTTGCATACCTTTTATTTTTTCTTATCACATTTTTATTGGATTTAGTTCCTGTCTCCTTGTTTGTTACGATATATTCAGTAAATAAATCCAAGCCTTCCTTTCCCAATCCATAGAAAAGACCAAGACCTCAGTCCAACTCCTGTCCAACAAAGTAACACTGATCCTAACATTACCAAAACCGCTTCAAAAAATAAACCAAGAAATACTTTGAATGCTAAGAAAAAACAGCAATTAAAAAAACTAGAAGAGATTGCTAGTAAATACAGTGAAGAAATGAATACTAAAGTCGAAAAAAAAGGATATTTAAAGAAATCTGTTGACCGAAGTCATATACCTGTACCAAATAAATTAAATCTAAAAAAAGTTGAAAACAAATTAAATAGAAACTTAGAAATAAAAACTGAGGGCAAAGAAGACAATGATTTACCCAAAGTAGTCATTGAAAAATCTAAACCATTAACTGTAGAACCGTCTGAAACAACAGTTGTTGGGAAAAAACAAGTACCTGTGAAAAGAAAAAAAAGTAAAACAAAAATGGACTCTGTAAAAGTTAAGGAAAATAGTATGAGCTTAGATAGCCTTGAGGAAAATCCTGGCAATTCAAATAGTCTTAACAGTGATCGTAATTGTCAGTCGATAGGTATAAATACGGAGCTTCTTTGTGTTCCATGTGTAATACATGATAATCTAGATCAGAAAAAAGAATATGCAATGCAGAAGAAAGGTAATAAGACAAAAAAGCATTCAATAGATCTAAAATCATTTAGAGAACGCGACGATTGTGTTCAAGAACCCAAAGTTGAGTTATTGTACAGGAACCCAACCATAGTACATTCTGGTGAAGGTATTTCTAACTACATTACAGAGAATTTTTCTAACTCCAACATTGATATTTCCATATGTACAGCTAGTACTTCGGGTAACTTAATTTCTGATGAAATCGACTCTACAGTAAACTTAGATCATTGTAATACCTCTGAGAGTAAATTGAATTCTATTTCAAACAAGTTGGATAGTTATAAGAAAGTTAAAATAAATTTTACCGATTCTGAGAAACATAATAGTGCAATTAGCATCACGCCAAGAACTGATGAAGTTACAAGTGAAGAACATATTGAAGAAATTAATAATAATTTATCAGAAGAAAGATTTGAAGAAACTTATGAACGTGATATAAGTGCAGAACTCTCAAATGATTCTGTGGAAGAAAAGTATGATGATGAAAACGAAGATGACGTTCATGAAATTGAATGTCGCCATGGCAGTGGTGAAACTTACACAAAATTTACAGAAAACCCAGCAGATTTGCTGGAATTTATGAATATAACTGATAAACTGTTAACTAATGACCACATTGATAACGAATCTTCTAATATTGACCAAGATCTTCAAAATATTCACACTCCCAAAACTAACTCTATTGAAACAATTCAAGAGTTAAATGTGGATCCACACAAACATCATTTTTCAGATACGTTTGAAGAATTAAAAAGCGACCTAAAAGAACTACTGCAAAGTAGTAGAAATACAGACAATGTTATTAAGAAAACTGATAAAGTCGACGTTCATGAATCTAATGAAAATATTTGTACCGCAAGTAAAGTAGTTGATGACATGGAACACATAACTGTTTATAAACTTAAATTCTATGATCAAAAACAAAATGAAAATATTACAACAGATGAAGCAACACCACAGTTTAGATTACCGTCAATAACAGAGACAAAGACCCCAGGGCGAAGAGAACCATGTAGTAAGAAAAAAGTGCAAAATATGTACAAGTCAAACAAAAAATACAGAATGTTGGGTGATCAAACTCGAAATGAAAAAGAATATCAGACATTTATCGTTACGGACAGTGTGGACAATGTAGACCATAGCGACGACCGTTCGGTGTCGTCAGACGCCCCGCCGCTGAAACTACCCCGTATAGAAAAGAGAAGGTTAGATGGACAGATATTTTCCTTGATACCCTTTTACTTGTGTATGACATAACCACTATGTATAACATAAACTTTAGTATGATGCACTATTCCAACGAAAAAAAATGCGTATTATAGCAACTAAACGTAAGTATTTTATAATCACGTGTTACAGGCTTGACGACAATTACGACCCTTTTGTGTCAGCTGCTAGGCAAATGAAAGAACTGATGTCGTCCGATGCAAACATTCCTAAAAAAATACAACATTCAAAAGATCACAGTCGAACCCTTCCCGCCCTACAACCTTCAAAAGACAAAAACTCCTCTACCTATCTTCGTACCGATAACTCTAAAATGATAAAAGACACGCTAAACAAAACCTATCAAAAAACACCAACACTGCAAAGAATGAAATCCTTCGGTAGTACTACCAATGAAAATAGCGGCAATACCTTAGGCGGTAGGTGCAGCTCATTTAGACTAAACAGAAATGATAAAAAACCTAGTCCAAAATTAAATACTACTTTTACGAAGTCTAGTAAAGAAAATATTAGTACCCCAGAAAAACATAATTTCAATCGTAATAGCAATCTAAATAGATCCTTTTCTAGTTACACCGCTTCAAGTTACAGCACGCCAAAACCTAAAGATAAAATCCCCAAAATAGCCACATCAATGTACCACAGTTTTCAACGGACAACGATAAAACAACCTGTCAAATTAGACAAAATAAAAAGAGACGACGAAAAAAAAGATTTTGTTAATCTCGACGCTATACTTACTGACGACAATTGTTCAATGACAGACAGTAATTATATCGACCCTAGACTTATAAATGAAAATGACAATCTGCCAATAAACGTTAACACTATTTTAAATAATCCCGATATAATAAGTAGCATGGAATCTCTTCTTACTACTGAAAATTTACCAGCTAAATTTGAATCGTTTAGTGCTGTAAATCAAAATAATAATAATATTTTCAATAACAATTATAAGGATTTAAATAGTTATTCTGATAAAAATGAACCTAATAATAAATCTAAAGCTTCTCCTCTAGCACTAGATGATCTGGGCGCGCAGTATGATAGAATTATGCATTCTCTCGAACAAAGTATAGCATCTAAAGCTTCCATCAGGGATGACGACTCTTTGTGCGAAGATTTTGATCTTGAGGAATTTATGACTTCCTTCGATGAAGAAATACACAAACACAAATCTGAAACCAAGCGCACATGTAGCTCTACGACTAGGATAGTGAAACAATCTGATTTTGTAGATAGTAACAGGACATCAGAAATGAATAGTATTAGCTCTTCTCCAAAAATTACGTATAGTATGGTCCCTGTTAACAAGTCGATGTCTCTAAATTTTAGCAGTAACAATATAGTGAGTGAAAACCTTTTCCCATCTTCCGTAAAACGTTCCACTTCCCTCCTCGACTCCATTCAAAAGAAGAATGTTATAAAGATGGACAGTGGAAGAAGCCGTCATAAATCCGATCAACTGGAGCAGGACATTATACAGTCCCTAAAAGATTTCGACAAGTTTTATGAAAACGAAAAAAATGAAACTTTGTCGAATAAAGAGACAACCAACTGTAACGGCACCGCAAAGAAAGTGAAGACTGACAAGAAGCCTAAAAAGAGCGAGAATTCGATAAATGGAAACTACACGCCCAATGGCAAGACTAGCATTGATTCAGCTTATAGCAGGTTAGTCAGGTAATTATTTAGTACTACGACAAGCAGATATATTCATAGCTTTTACTCAAAACTAATAACAATAATTGTATATTTTAGCCTAAACAGGATATCGCCATCAAAATTATCAATTTGCACATCAAAGGAGCCCAACGGCTTGACATCATTGGAACAAATCCCTGCAGGATCAGACTCTAGCGGCAGTCACAAGGATGATGCGAGGTCGGGCTCCAGTGATGAGTTTTTAGAAATGGAACGCTCGGCGGAATTAGATGAACCGCTTCCGGTCGCCAAACCGATTCATAGTGAACAACATAATCATAACAATGGTGCGTTTTAATTAGGTTCTTATTAAATTTATTTTTTTATGTACGCCGTCAATGCAGCAATGAACTATACGTTGGCCATCGCTCGTGACTTCTGTGTTGAAGGTGCCTATAGTAGTAGTCAATTTCCATCAGGTGTATCGCTTGCTCGTTTGCTACCTAAATAATAAATAATAATATTTTAACTTCGCTTAAAATATTGATCTGAATATGAAGTGTAGAACACAGTTAAACTTTGTTCTTGTTAAACTCGGATTGGGGGAATAAATGTATTTTATTATTGTGATAAATGATTATAATATTACAGAAAAGCGCACGTCGTCACGGGCTTCGTCCCGCCGCAGCTCCGCGTGGCGCGCGGGCGCCGGCTCGCTGAGCTCGAGCGGCTCGGAAGCGTCGCTACACCGCGGACGCAAAGACTCTGCGCCCGGACCGCGCCTGTCGCGATTCTGTCACGAGTGCGGGAACAAATTCCCGGTAGACACGGCCAAATTTTGCATCGAGTGTGGAGTGAAACGACTCGTCGTGTAGACGAACCATCAGACCGTACGTGACGAGTGAGACCCACTTCTAGTCTTATAAGTAGTGCCGATTTTATATAGGGGTACTATTTGATAAATATGGATGCGGGCAATCAGTGGAACCTTCAATGAAATGTGGCCGTATTGTGCTGGTGTGCCTAGCGTAAGTTTGTTCATTTTTATAACAATGTGTATGATATTGACTAAATACTGTTATCAGTATTGATATCATGAAATACGTATCTCGGATGAACGGATTTACCAGTTTTAGGCAGTAGCAGAAGAGAGAATTTCTAATTTCAAATACTTTTAGCAGTCTCTTGTGAATATTAAAATTTAAACCAAATGTTCACAAGTTAAAATGCATACACCATCACAACAATACCAAATGTATGTTCAACTAAACCAACCCTTAACTGATCTTTTATTATAAATTGGCTTTACTTCAACCCTTGAGTATATTTTTATACTTAGGTACTTACTTAGTAATATATATAAATATATATATACATACATATATTAATGAAATCTTATTGCACAATGAGACAATCTTGGACCACAAAGTAGAAGAAACTTGAGAATGCATCTCTTTTAAATAATGTAGTTATCTTATATGATATATATACAAAACGTTACCAAATTGCTATAATTTATGAACTACTTTGTGCCTTTTACAATTAATTAGAATAAATTAACTTATATTCCATTGGTGTAAACTGTTATTATTTTTGCAAGCTTATTTATTCGAACTGTTTGAAATACTAGGAGCGATTCGATATGAATACACGAGAGTAATGTGAGAAGGAAGTGTCGTCCACTTCTGCATTTATGTACAGAACACTTTCAAACCTGTGCTCAACTCAGTTAAATATGACACAAGGTGTATGATATGGTGTTAATACCGAATTGCCTCCGTGGTCTGGGTACCCTTGAAATTGAAACAACTGTGATACAGGAAAATGTTTCGGTCTACCGTTTTGACTTAAGTGCCAATTTCTACAAGTGCTTTTGGTTTTGATTTTGTGTACTTTTATTTTGGAATTGCTAGCAGATACTATATTTTTATTGATTTTGAGTACCCTGCCAAGAATTTCCATTAACATCTCTTGTCCAGAATGCAGTTGGCCATTTTAACAAGACTGATTTATTTTCAAAGTTCTCGAACTTGATTAATCCTTAGTTACTGTTGTACATTGTTTTTATTAAAATAACGATTTTATCATGTAATAAATTAACATTTTAATAATGATAATTTGGTGTTTTCTTAATTTAGTATAATTTTCATTTCATATTATTAAATGAGGCATTGTAAGGAAGGAATGTTTAAGTTGAGTTAATGAAATTAGTAAACAATGCACACAATTGATAATGTCAATAAGCATTAGTTTGTTTAATAAGGTAATAGTCGATTAGTCCCACTCACGAAGAAACAGGAAGAATTAAAGAGCGACGGGTAAGCAAGAAGCAATGGAAGAAAAAAGATATTGCTAAAGAAATAAAAGCAGATGAAATGCAACATTAAAGATTTTAAATGGAACATGTTTTAATTTGGATTTATGAACTAGGTAGCTTTTATGAGAAACAGATGTGAATTGAAACGGTCTTAACTTTTAAACGAATAGTTTCAATATTTTATTGTACACGCAATGCTAGTTATGTAATTTCAGCGATTTGAATAAGTTTTCTATTCAATTATATACGATGTATCGCTATTATTTAAACCTTGCCTCATAGCACAAATTCTGCCAATGAAAATTTTCATAGATCCCCAGATCAAAACACAAGCCAACATAATATTATTATATGAGCTTAAGGAATGTCACCAACGTGCACAAGATTCAAATGCCTGCAATCTGAGCTAGTAGCAGATGCACAGCTCCAGTTTTAGTTGATTTTAGCTGTTTGCTCTACATTTTTAACTTCACCTATTTCTTAGCCTTCAATGGAATTCATCATGCGAGTGCCGGGTCCATTGCGTGATAGATGGGGCAACACATGCGACTGCGACATCGCCTGGGAATTGCGACCCAGGAGTAGGTTTAGGGAGTACTGCTAGCGAAGCGTCAACGCTCACCAAAAGCGTCTACTGTGCTACCCTTTAACTAACTATATTTGATAAGCCTAACAATGTCGCTTTGGATATTCGTTCAAGAAAAGAGCTTAAAGTACTTCAGTACTTGGCAATCCAAGGTCTTTAAGCAGGTTATAGAAGGATTTAGCAGGTATACCCCCTCGCACCCATTTCCACGACATACAATGCAACTAATGTTCGTTGCTCACGGTACCATGAGTTCTACTAGTACTATAGGCAATTAACTTGGCATAAAGAAATATGTCCAGTCTGGATGGGATATCCTCCGGTATTCTGTAATGATTTTCATATGTGTCCACTAATAATGTCCAGACTTTTATGAAGTCATAAACACGGGTTAGTTTATTATCATTTGAAACTAAAGAACGGCTGGATAGATTTTTATGATATTTAACTTATGGTTTTCCCAGTCCAGAATAACAGAATAACTATTAAGATATTTTAATATTCGTGAAAAAAAATGCAGAAAATTCCTTTCCATTTTTACATTGTGTATGAAACCTAATCAAGAGCACAGCTGTAACTAAAGATGCAGGTGAACTGCGGGGAACTACTAGTATAAGATAAGAACAACACTTCCATGCTAAAACTTGTAATTCTAATGTTTTTTTTTTTTTTATTTACAACATTGATCATTTCATTATGATAAAGTAAACACATTTGACTTATGTTAATTAATTAATGTACTTTGATTTATAAAAATATGACTAAAGATCACCAGTAGAGATATTCTACAACTACTAAAGTCTGAACATACTCCTGTGTGCTTTTCGAGCTGATATGGCTCCTCTTACTCTTAATCTCCGGAGTGCTTCACGAAGATGTTTTGGCTGCAGTGGTCCAGCTTCACCTGACTTATCCAGTACCTCAAGAGCTGAAAGATGTAATTTTGATATTTAGGCTGATAAACAAGAAATTTAGTTTTTTGTCAAAGGCATTGAAATGAACCTAGAACTATTACCATGTTATTACAAGCTTTAGAGCATTTTAATAATTATTATTTTAATAATTATAATAGAAGAGAAAGAGATGCACTGAGAGATTTTGCACTCCATCTTAGAATTGACCCTTTAGAGTGTCTCAATACTTAGTTATGTCTACTGATTGATTTGATGTGCAAAATTTGATAAGGTACAACTTATAACAAAGTGTTACAAGTAGTATGAGGTAGAGGATTCTAAGTTCCAAAATAGAAAGAGAGAAAAGTAAGAAGACCCAAACTAATTTCTTTTGTAGCTTCAAGAGCTCAAAAATAAATACAAATATAAGCTTATTATGACTGGTGACATAATTAATTGAATTAATAAATTTCTCTTGTTGGTTAAGAATGTACTGCCATTATTTTCAACACATACCTTCTTCTACAACTTCTCCAACAAATACTTTGGCAATACCAGACATAGCTATGACCACATTTTGTCCAACAGAACATCCTGTTATTGTTTGCATTAGCCTTTTGATAGCTGCTTTAGGAAAAGCTGCACGTCTGTACATTTCATATCTATCCAGTTGTTCTTCTGTAAAATTTGAGACAAGAACTCTGTAAAGTAAATAAAAACCATGTAAAAAAAATTGAGGAAGTCTACTATTTCTGTTGATTAATGCTTGGAACTAGCGATATTCATAAGTACAATGATAAAATCTCACTAGGAACAATGTGCACCACTGGTAAACACTTCATGCATTTTGAGTTTGATCATATCATGTTGGTCTAGTGGTCAGTGACCCTGACTGCTAAGTCAGAGGTCGTGGGTTTGATTCCCACCCCCAACAAATATTGGGTGATGAGCATGATCATTTGAAATATATAAGTACTTTTATATGCAGATCAGTTAGTACAGGATCTGTCTAGTTTGGGACCAGACTGCTGTGTGAAGTTATTATTATTATTTTTATTTCGAATATAAAATAATTGATTTCAATAATGATCCCTATTACTGACAAAAGGCTGAAAGACAGGGAAACTGCTTCTTAATTAGTAGTAGTCTTAAAAGAATTTTAGAAAATTGATGAAAAGAATACAATGCACAATTTTGAAGTATAGCATAACAAGCCTTTCCTAAATGTTGTAACTCATTCAATTATTTATTCATTGTATTTGTAATTCATTCATTAAACTAAAACATTGTGTATTAACCACATAGAGATATACAATACCCTGGCTCATTTTAGAGTACAGATAACACTTAAAATATTATATGAGACATGAAAATCTAAGATGGCAATTAGAATTAAAAAAACACATTTAAAATGTAAACCTACTGCATCTTTTCACGCTCCTCTTCTTCTAATTCCTTTTTACTTTTCTTTTCTCTTTCTCGCTCATTTATTAGCATTTCTTCTGTCATCTGAGATTCATAAGTATTTGCTGATTCACTTTGTTGAAAATCACTGATGTTTGGTACAATTGTGTTGTCTGCACTTTCATCAAGATCCAATTTGTCATACTTAACTGAAGTTTCTACTTGTGTTTGTTCAAGAGTAGATTGGTCAAAAGCATAATCATTAATGTACGGTTCATATTGATCAGTAAGAGTGTCTGGTTGTGAACTTATAAATGTATCAGAGTTATCTGTGTATATATTGCCAAGTTCATCAGCTCTATGAATAGTTTCAACATTTTGGGAACTATCAGAGTATGTTTCAATAACTTCACTTTCTATGTTAGTATTCTGAACACCTTCTCCATAGTTTACTAAAGTAGTGTCTGAAAAACGAAAGTTTACGACTATTGTTAGAACAACAAACATGAGATGAACTTCAGTAAATCTTATATATAAAATTCTCGTGTCACAATGTTAGATACCATACTCCTCCGAAACGGCTGGACCGATTTTTATGAAATTTTTTGTGCACATCGGATAGGTCTGAGAATCAGTCAACATCTATTTTTCATACCCCTAAATGACGAAGGTGACCCCTATTTTTTTTTAATATTTCCTAGAAATAATGTATATGGCAAAACAATGTTTGCCGGGTCAGGTAGTATGCATATAAATTTAATGAGTAAAAAGGTAGATGCAGTAAAAATAATTTACAAATGCCTTATTGCAATATCTTCCAGGCAACCTTAGGATAGACTGGAACTATTTTACATACAAATACAATAGATAAGGCATTATTTCTACTTCATATATCATCAACATCAGCCTATCACAGTCCACTGCTGGACATAGGCCTCTCCCATTGCACGCCACTTAGATCGATTTTGGGCTCCTATTCTATTAATATATACCTACATATATTATGTTACTATACACACATCAATATAAACAAATACATTTACTAATTTTCAGCTATAAATAGGACTACAGTCACAGATAATTACTACGGATTACACTCGTCTGATACAAAGTTTAAATTATTAATTGATTAATGTTTAATTATTTTCGTTTACTTACATTCTGGTTCATCTTTTAACAATTTTTCTTCTATTTCTAATGATATTTCCTGTGTATCGTCTTCAATAGAGTCACTGTGTTCTAATTCTTGTGCCAGTTCGTCTTCTGCAAGTACATACATTTTTGTTTTTACATTTATATTATTATTCAAATCCTAAATCTTGAACCAGGCTAAAGGTGGACGTAATATGTCACACAGTCACAAAGTAAATTCATTCTCTCTACTCTCACCTCTTAGCCTTTCCGCCTCTGATAAACCGTCGCTGCTCGGGTTCTCAGCCATTTCTACGACCGCCAATACAATTAATAATTGTTATTACCACCACCACCAAATTCTCAAAAATCTGAAAAGTCAATTTTATTATTTATTTTAATATCCATCACCTAGCATTGACATTTACCAGTGTTACCAGCCTTAGCAGCCTTTGATCCAATTCCGCTTGCTTTTTCAATTTTTAGCAAAATTGCTCTAAGTTTAAGAACTATTAAATTATACACACACACACATACACAAAGAAAGCGATCTCTAAGTGAGTATTATATAGAGCGATCATCGTGATCAATCATAAAACAGCAAATTTATCTAATGTATAAATGGTGAGTCATTAAAACCCAGTGAATTAATTTTATAGACTATACAGATATTACGTCCACAGACTCCCTATTCATCCCGTGGGTGTCTTAAGAGCAAAGGAAACAAACAACACAGGACGACCTGTTTCAACAGCACTGCAAAGAGAAGTAAACCTAAAATTAACCCTAACCAACCCGTCTGGCCAGTGGTCTTTCTAAGGAGAGGCCTATGTCCAGTAGAGGACTATTAAAGGCTGTTGAGGATGGTGATGAATATTATGTAGAGGAGCTCGTCGGTAAGCGGTAACCGAGAAGGTTAGCATTAGCACATTGCAAAGTTAAGTATGCTAGTCAAGTCATCATGGATGGGTAACCATTCTTAACACATTGAGACCCCTCGTCCATGACTCAGAGAGCACGTTAAACCATCGGTCCCGGTTGCCTTACAATCATCTGTGGCAATCGTTACTAGTTGGTGAAGCGTACTTAAGTTGTGGAGGTCTGGTGGCTGTCGCTCCACGTAAAAGATTGTGTCGCCGTGTCATCGGAGCTGAAAGCCGACCCCAACCGAGTACGGGACAGCACTTGGAGGATGATGGATGATAGAATACACACATTACGTAGGATATTTTGTAAATTAATTACCTTTCCTTACGTTTTGATGGCATATAATAGCTCTCTATTGTTATTCATTACATGTTAATCAATTTTTTTTTGTCGTTACGTACGTTATACGTTATTAAATATAGGTAGACAAACTAATTCAGTTTCTAACAAAAAATTACATTATAATCAACATCACAATCAATGGTACACATGTATTTACACGCATTTCCTTCTTTCACTTGAGTAGCGTTATCCCGTGGCACAAGTGTTTCGCCCGGGAATCAGTATCTCTCAAAAGTATGATATCTCTCAGAACTATTGTGTGTAGATGTTCCCAAATCGACGACAAACTAACTAATAGAAATTGATTTCTGTAGGGTCTCAACTACGCTTGTCAATTTCCTTCGTCTCATTGAAGTGCTGCAAAGTGCTGCTTTAAAAAAACTTATAGTACTGTTAAATTCCACATAATTCAATGTGCCTGACTATACCACAGTCAGAGATTTCTAATAATATTTTCTGATACTTTCCATACTATTAATGAATACCGGTCATCAACCGTACTCAAATGAATACTGCAATTTTTAGACTGTGGCACGGTGAAACTGACAAGTTCGTAAATTAGAACTTTATTATTTTTATTTTTTATGAACTTTACTTAAAATAACAGTAAAATGTAATATAGTACAAATTACTAATATTAAATTTACATAATGTGAAGACATTACTTACCATTTTTCAATCAACAATTTTCGTTTTTAAGCGGGGAAATTTCACGGAGAAAAATGACATAAGGTCATGCGGGGCAAGGGCGCCATATTTTTTGCATAGATGAATTCAATGCAAAATATTTTTCTTTTATGCTGACTTATAAGTGTATATATTTTAAATTGTCATTATTTGGTATGTTGTAGCTGCAAGAAAAGACGATTCAATGTAATCTATCAACATTTTTATGATATTTTATAAGAAATTGGAAAACATTTATATAGGCGCACTTGCCTGGAAAGTGGGGCAAGTGCGCCGATATAAAAAATAACACTAAAATCATATCTTACCAGAAAAACAGATAATATACTCAATAGAACATAAACAACTAAACGTATTACTCTGGGTTTCTTTTTAATTTATTAGTACTATAGGTTGCTGCAGCTTTCTTAACAAATTTGGGGTAAGCGCGCCATAGTCTTTAAATCAGGGGATCTAAACCTTTAATGCTGTTTTTTATATAAAGTAAATACTAAACTTTACAGGACAGCTACCGTAAAGTTCACAACCAGATAAGTCCAGACTCATCTAGCGTGGACTTTACGGCAGCTGTCCAACTGCATCTTTTTGTCGAAAGATCTGTGGGCAAGCTAGTGTCAGAGTTGTTCAGGCTCAGTCTGAAGGTCTCTGACATGGCTTAATGACTGATGTTGAATAATAAAAGCCAGATCAATGATTTTCCGGCCACCCATCCAAAGACTCATCGCGAACTAGCCTGACCTCGATTATTGCTGCCGATTAACAAGCTTAGGTCTACCTAAGCGCGCATAAAGTAACGAACAAAGGAAATTACAAGTACTATTTATTAACTGTTAGCACTAACTTTAAACGACTTTTATACCGGGTGTCCAAACAAATGGCCTATTTAATGTCACTCAAACAATTCACTCAATTTTTTTTTGAAAATACCTATCCGTTAATAAGTTATGACTATTACTTTTAATAGAATTAACAACTTATTCGTATAAAAATAGAAGATTTTAAACGAAAATCAGTACTTTTAAATGTTATATGAATTGAATAAAAGTTGACAACTTCTGCTTTGGGGGAAGTGCGCCATACTACAAAAAATTTAGGCACGCTTGCCTCACTTGATTATTTTGAGGGTAAGATTTTAAATTCTTTATAAAAAAAATATTTCCTTATCTAGGACTAAAATACAGACATAGATTTAAAAAAAAAACTATTAAATTCTGTACTTAAATCATTGGTTTGCCGCAGCACGTAAAATATTTTAGATTTAAGGGGATTAATTAACAGGTGTTCATCTCTGGTAACAGGTTTAAATTACACTAAAACTAATACTACTAATACTAATGGTGGATACATCAAGTTATGATGAACAGAGACTTCAGTGATCTAAAGTGCAACTATGTTTTTGTTTGTTGCATTAATGTAAGATGTCGTAAGTTGTCTAATATCAGTGGTTTTTGATATTTTTAGGGCAGGTGCGCTTACCCCGTCGGCGCACTTGCCCCGCCTGACCTTACATCCAACCTCAAACAAGGCTCAGCGAGCTCTGACACTTGACAGTTCGCCTTTCAGACTGACAGACGAACTTTGCCGCCGTGAGGAAAGCCAGAAATTGCAGTGAGGTCCTTCAGAGGTTATGTTTTGTCCCTCTACGGCTCTACTGTGCGATGTCGTGTGATGAAGGTGCGTGTAAACACACGCACCTTCATCACACGACACGACATCGGCACAGTTTGCCACAAACAAAAAAAAAATTAAAAAAAAAAGCCACAAGTCTATATTTGGTTTCTTTTTTTATAAGTACAACTATATGAAAATGTATTTCTACAAATCTCTAAAAAAAATAAGCTCTAAAGTTGGTATAACTTTTACTTGAATGTGGTGGTGGCATTTCATAATAATTTCTTTTTGAAATCGTGAGTTAGTGCTATGTTTGTGTTTTTTTATCGAGCCATATTCCCTAAATCATGTTTCTATCTCTGATCCTTAGATTATATGTTTAATTTTTATAAAATATTTATTTTCATGCACAAGAAATGTACATTAATGTGTTAATTTCTCTTCTAAAAAGCGCAAAATCGCTGCAACCTCGCCTTAATTTCGCATGATACATCGCTCTAAAAATATATATATATATATATAATGTTTTTAGAGATTATATATAATTTTTATATATATGGGGTCTACCAAAGAGAGCGTCCTGGTTTAAAAATTGAATAAAACACACAATTTTTTATGAAAAATGCATCCGATTGATTTATTTGAAAGATAATTTTAAGCAATTTATGTTTTAAATAATATATCGGTGAAATGACCGCCGCGGCTCTTTTTTGCGGACGGTCACCCGCTCACAACAATTTTCGATGACGCGGTGCACCATTTCGGCCGGTATGTCAGCTATGGCTCGTCAAATGTTGGTTTTTAGGTCACAAATTGTAGCTGGATTATTGGTGTACACTTTAGATTTAACGTAACCCCAAAGAAAATAGTCTAAAGGTGTTAAATCAAACGATCTTGGTGGCTAACTGATCGGTCCATTTCTCGAAATTAACGGCTCACCAAACTTTCCACGCAATAATTCCATGTTCACTCGAGTAATGTGAGGTGGTGCACCGTCTTGTTGAAAATAAAGGTCGTCTGCATCAATGCAAATACCGGAAAGAAATATTCGGTTAACATCGAGTTATAGCGCTCACCATTCACAGTAACAGGTTTCCTTTGTCACTGTCAAAGAAGTACGGACCAATGATTCCACCGTACCATAAACCGCACCAAACTGTTATTTTTTGTGGATGCAATGGTGATTCATGAACCACACGTGGATTTGACTCACTCCAATAGCGACAATTTTGTTTATTAACAAATCCATTGAGCCAGAAATGGGCCTCATCTGAGAAGATGATTTTACGATGAAAATCGTCATCGGCTTCCCTCATTTCCAGTGCATAATCGGCAAATTCACGACGGATACAATAGTCGAATAGCTTCAATTCTTGTGCCAAAACAATTTTGTATGGGTGTAGGCCCAAATCCAACCGCAAAATACGCCAGGTGGTCGTTGGGGAGAGCCCCAACTCTTGTGAACGGCGTTGAACTGATCGATTTGAATTCGCATCAACACTGGCCTGAACAGCTGCGATATTCTCTTCACTACGGGCATTTCTTTGTCTCACAGGCACAGCAGTATCGTGGAGAGTGAATTCACTTTCAAATTTTGTTATTATGCGATTTATAATGCGCACAGAAGGAGCACTATGACGACCGTTTTTTTGCGCGAAGCGCTCTTAAAGTAGCGGTAGGAGAACGCGAATTTGCGTAATAATTTTGGACAATTTCCAAACGTTGGTTTAAAGTGAAACGTGACATGATAAAGTGGCAAACCTTACTGAACACAAATGTCAAGAGACGTCAAAGATTCATTATCAAACATGGCCGCTATGAGCTGTCAAAACCAGGTCATCCCTATTGGTAGACCCAGTATATAATATGTGTATATTTGGGTATATGTATATATTTTTGCTTATATTTGTCTATTCCAAGAACAACTATGTACTATTATTACTTCCTTATAAGTGTACCTACCTCATTCTTTCTCTGCATCGCCCAATCGGTAGACTAGCAGAGAATGCTTAAGGCATCAAGTCCACCGATGTACATATATTGGGCAAGAAGTTATAAATATAAATAGATAAATAAATGAGTGAAAAAATGACTTATAAATACAATTTTAACTTTGACAAATCAATTTCTTCTATTTTTGTTTTTGTTTTTCGTAATCAGCGTCCTCAACTACGCATAATATCTTAAAGCACCCTTGGTCATATTTTTTTTTGCAAATTCAGAGCAACTGGACTACGGTAGCTGCCCCTTACACTCGCTCAGCCAGCGCGCACGCAAAAAGTCTATTAAAACAAATGTCTGTCTATCAAAACTTAGTTTAAATAGTCTTTTAAAACAAATGTTTATTGTCTATTAAAACAAATAGATATTTATCAAATGATCTAAAAATTTGGATATTTTTACTTAAACTCCACCTTAATAAATAGGTGAATCGAAATTATAACGTTTTTGAAAAATTAAAACCCCTTCCCAATCTTGAAAAAAAGGACACTTTTTGCAAAAGTCGACGGTTTGCAAAAAGTTTACAACATTTTGACCTGAAAATTTAACTATAGTTACAAGTTTACAACATATCAACATATCCGAATTTCAATTCTTTACCACTTCCCGAACATCATCATCAATCATCATCAACAGCCTTTAATAGTCCACTGCTGGACATAGGCCTCTCCTTAAAAAGGAGGTTTTGGCCTACTACTTCCCGAACGCAAGTTGCAAATTCTCCAAGTTTTGCAAAAAAACGTGGTTTTCTGCAAATTTTGGGCGATCCGGTTGTCCGATTTTGTCTTCCATTGTCATTCTCTTTTTTTTTTATTGCGCACAGTTTTTTACTTTTAACTTATTTTCGTAGGGGCCCTAGTTTTCACTCCAGATGCGAAAAACTTGTTTTTGCGATTTTTGACATTTGTTTTGCCACCTTAGCTGACAATATTTTCTTATAATTTTAATTGCAATCAATTCTTGTGAATCTTCAATAAAATATTTTTTCACTCCAATAGGAATTTGCCGGATTTTTTAGGTATTTTTCGCTGATTCTATCTGTTCATCAGGCTCGTTCGTTTGTTAAACTTTGTTTGACGCAATACTTTTTAAGAAATAACAAAAAAAAAAGAACAACTTTACGAAAAGTGTAATATTTCAAAGTTATCATTGTAAAAATAAAGTAACCTAGAATAACACTTTTCAAAATATCACTTGCTTCAGATGCAGATCTATACCTCTTTTAACGAGATGAAAAGTTTCCGACTTGTCAATGCATGTCCTCCGAGATTGTATCGATAGATTCGATAGTTTGGTTTAAGACTCCTCAGTTCGTCACTCCACTGTCACTGTCAACTTGCTGTCAGCAACGATTCCGTGGTAGAATAGTGAAGTGGTAGAATTATATTGAGATTTCTGGTCGTCGCCGTACAATAAATATATTGTATTCTTGGTGCGGACAGAGAGTTCCATCATGAGTGCATTAATGAAAGTTGCAATTTCTCGAAGCCCTGCTTCATTGGTAAGTAAAATAGAATTGTTTCAAAACATCTAATTAGTAAGTTATGTAATCGGCAAACGTTTACAAAAAAATGTTTTGAAAATTCTTAGGGGCTATTAGCTTATCGATTTTCTAGAACGTTAATTTTTCAATTACTATTAAACAAATTGAAAACCTGATTTAACAGTTCAGGTAAATTTATGTTTTTTAATTAAAAAAATATGCCTTTAAAATAAATGAAGCTTTACAAAAAGTGGCCCAATATGGTATACATGATGCTTCCGTTATTTGTATTAATTTTTCACGTCTACAAATCATATTTTGTTAAAGAGGAAAATAATATATTAATTATGTATGCTTTGGGAAACAAACTTAATGAGACATTCAGCATCAAGTAATTTAACAAATTTTAATAGTCATTTTATCAATAATTCGATTAACAAAAAAAGAAATATTTCCAAATGTTACAGGCTTCATATTTATACAAAAACCTGCACTTCTCTGCCGGTGCGGCTGCATCACTTAAAGATGCATCAGCAAATAGCAATATGACAAAATCCTACACAGTAATCGACCACAAGCATGATGCACTGGTGATTGGTGCCGGTGGTGCTGGTCTTAGAGCAGCCTTTGGTTTAGTCCAAGAAGGCTTTAAGACAGCTGTTGTCACTAAACTGTTTCCAACGAGATCTCATACTGTAGCTGCTCAAGGTGGAATCAATGCTGCTTTAGGTAATACTTTATTTTTATAGTAAAACTAAAGTGCACTTATCATATCCATTTTGTTTGATTGTGCTAGTTATAGTGAGTGATCTCAAATAGAAAATGTTGATATTTTGAAGTATAAAGTGCTATGTAATTTACACTACTATATGGACCTAAAATAAAGAGTGGTGTAAAATATGAAAACCAATATTTATTTATATGTACATTTTTTCTTTAAATCATAAGCATTTAAATAATATCACCCAGACAAAAAAAAAAAGGATTTGATGTTACTTTGTCAAGTAATTAACTAGGTAAATTCAGAGATATATGTTATGGACTTTTAGATTACTGTTCTAGATTGAAATACAGTAAATATATATTTAAAGACATGAATAACTTTATTTATAGGATGACATTGGTGAATAGCTCTTAATGATATTTAATTGCTTTAGGTAATATGGAGGAAGATAATTGGCTGTGGCACATGTATGACACTGTCAAAGGATCTGACTGGCTTGGAGATCAGGTAAATTTTAAACTCATTATATATTTAAGAATTTATCTTCACAATCAGCTTAAATAATGAAGTACAAGTTGTTATGGAAAATTTTAAATGACATTTACATTGGTGATTGTTTTATTCATTTGTCAAACTAATATTTTCTCAGAAAACCAAAACCTATTCCAATTAGATTTTGATTTCTATTGTCAAGAAAATTCGGGTAAGAAGGAGAGAATTCATTTGAATAATGCTGAATGGCACGGAACAATGAGATTTATAACAATGTACATAAGATTGAAAATACACTGTCACGCAGTTACCTTGTTACATTTAAAACAGGTTTGTATTTCTCTGAAATCGAAAGTTCTCCTAGGGTTTAGGATAACCTGTAGATAATGTTCTAGTTGTCTGGCGAGTATTATACTCGTGCAGGTGTTCAGTTTGAAATACAGTGTGATAAACATTGGGTGATCTAAGCAAATAGCAGTGTTATCCAGCAACCTCAGCGATCATTCCTGATTCAGTATTGTTTGAATGCTTCTAAGTGTAGTAATAATAAAGTCGCTTTAGTTATCAGAAGGTATTATTAATGCAAATTAACGAACCCTAACATGTAACAGTATAAAGAAATCATTACTCAAACAGTGAATCTTGAGAAAATCTTTTAGTGAGGTGTGGTGCCTGACTTGAAATCTAAAGATGTATATATATAACTAGTGTCTGGTAATCCAGTGGGATAGCAGAATATAAGTTAATTATGTTATTAAATAAATTTCTTTTACATTCATTATATAACTTTAATACAATTTCTCTGCAAAATTATCTGTGGCAATTTTTTTGTTCTTAAATACTAAACTAAACCATAAAAAAACATACTGTATGGGTGCTATACAAGTATTTACATAAAGAGTCACACATAATGGGTCTTTACCTATTATTTTTAAAACCATCATTTTCAGATTTAATTATCTGTGGATTGGTGCGCAATTCAAATACATTTTAGTCGAAATCCATGTTATTTAAAATTTATAATTCAGTCATTTGTTTTAGATAGTGTTTTGTTTCTGTGAAATTGTGGTAGTTTTTGGCGCCATGGATGAACTGAAAATTCGTACGATTTTCGAATATGATTTTCTATGAATTAACGACACACGTCGTCGGGCCTAACACTACTTGCATAAACACGGTCCATTATTAGTTCAAACGTTTTAGACCTTTTTGTTTTTTTTTTTTCCGTGCGGAAATCCCCTCGGATACCACCTGTCGGTGGCATGTCAGACTCGAACCGACTAAAACCGCACGCCGTCTCGGGTACAAATAGCCGGGGAACCAGGTATACCCTAGAAAGGAAGTCCCTGGTGCCCCGACATACCTCGGGTCATCTACAGACGAGTAAACGACCCCCCCCCCCCCGTGTTGGAACCCCATGTTCCCTGTGCTCCCTGGAAGCGAGCGCGCTTCGCAACGCGCTCGCCGCCACCCCGGCCTGCTTCTGCTAGGGTGACAGATGGCCTCACCTGTCACCCCCAGGCCTGCGCTTATGGAGGACGGAGGTCGTTCTGCGACCTCCGGCGCCTGAGTCGCCTGCGGTACCTGGCCCGTTCCCGGGCCTGGCGGGCCGGGAGAGTCCTAAACCTCTCCCGGTCCCGCTCCGCCGTCTCCTTCGCGAGCATAACTTGCTCGCAGAAGGAGACGGCAGAGTTCCACGCACTCTTGCTCCGCACGATAGCCGCAATCAGGCTATCGAGCGAGAGAACTCCCACTCCGATGGCCGCCACGAGGGCTCGCCTCTGCTCAACCCACGCCGGGCACTCTGCCAGCGTGTGGAGAGCCGTGTCCACGGTCTGGCCATGGCAGTGGTGGCATGGCACTCAGGCGTTGGCTCCTTGCGGATCAGACACAGGTGATCCCCGAAACATCCTTTCCCAGTGATCACCTGCGTCAGTCGGTATGAGAGGGTCCCGTGACGCCTCTCGAGCCAATCCTCCATAACGGAAACGTTTTAGACCTGGAAATTTTGAGTTGAAGAACGAGCTTCGCGGTCGGTCAAATTATTAAATATAGTGGACAACGATGAATAGTGGAAGCGGATCCAACTCAATCTTGGAGCATGCTGCGGGCTTAGGAGTTAGTGTCAAAATAACATTGAAGCTAATCGGAAAAATAAAAAAGCTATATAAGTAGGTGCCACACGAACTAAGCGACCTCCAGCGAGACTTACGCGTCGAAGCATGCATAGCACTACTGAAATGGCATAGAAACAAGGGAATTTTGATTCGAATCTTAGACTTTTAAATCACACCTTCTTACCAAATGGCACTACAGTAACGGCAGATGTCTATTGCCAAGACATGCAAAAATGATGGAGAAGCTCGCAATCCAACAACCACGACTAGTTATTCGCTCTTCCGCACTGCTTTTCCACGACCACGAGCGAGCACACACTTCACGCCAGACCATCGCAAAACTACAAGAGTTACAGCTGGTAGCTTTCCGTCACCTACCGTACTCACCGGACCTTGTCCCAACAGATGTCTACTTTTTTCAAAATTTAGACGTTTTTTTAAGTGGGAAGAAATTCAACACCCGAGAGGCACTACATAACGCTTTCGCGGCCTTTATCGCCTCCCGTCCAGTAGACTTCTACAGTAAAGGGATATACAAACTACTATCAAAATGGCAAAATTGTATAGACAATTCGGGCTAAAGTAAATATAAAACTAAAACTTTTAGATTTTAAAATGTTCATACAGTTCTCCAACTTCATAGGCAAAGACCTAATATTATCATACAAATCACTGTGTAATAGACTGCCCACTTAGATAGAAACGCGTCTAAATCCAGCCACTTAACGTTGATGATAGGTGTTTGTTCATAAAAGTTATCAACTAAAAACTTCAATCTGTTATCAATTGGCGAAGATATCACGTACAAAAATTCAAGAAGAATAGAGAATGTCTTCCTATTCTGAATTTTGTTAAAAGAAATGTTATTATTATTTATATGTCAATGTTAAATATTGAATTATATTATTGAATTTTATCAGTATAAGGCAATTCAAAGATCTTAAAGAGTCTGAGAGTCTGAATCCAATAAATAGAACGTATTTACATATCTCGACTGAAAACATGTTTGACTGTCCCCGGTGGTGCATTAGGTGGCGTACGCGACAGCTCTTCTAAGATCTCGGGTTAGATTCCCGGGTCTGACCAAATATTTTTATGTTCTACAAATATTTGTTTCGGAGTTTGGGTGATTTCTTTGTATAATATGTATGTATTTATAGAAAAAAAGTATATAATTATTCTTTCAGTCAATCTAACTTTTACAGTACACGCTCTGCTAAGTTTGAAACTAGATGGCGTTGTGTGTTAGATGTCCGAAATATTTATTATTAAACACTAATACTATAGAAGACCGTTATGATATTTTTCCACTAATACCTACTAAGTTTTGGAAAAATTACTAGAAATACATAAATTACTATTAGAAACTAATTTTACAAGTATCATTGTGGAAAACAAATTTCACAAAAACAAATGCTGGGAGCAAAGTTCTTTTTATTGTTGATTACATTTTTCAAGTACGATAAACATTTACCTTGTGTACAAAAATTACATAATTCCATAGATTATATTAATACTTTTGATTTAATTTTTAGGATGCGATTCACTATATGACTCGCGAGGCTCCTCATGCAGTCATCGAGCTCGACAACTATGGCATGCCTTTCTCCCGAACGCCAGAAGGCAGGATCTACCAACGTGCGTTCGGCGGTCAGTCGCTCAAGTTCGGCAAAGGTGGCCAGGCACACAGGTGCTGTGCAGTCGCTGATAGGTACGAATCACCTTTTGCATTATTTATATAGTTCCAGCCTTTTGAAGTATTGCAGACTTTATCCTTATGTTTATTTACAAGTTATTTATTAGATTTATTTACAAGGTATTTTAAAGTTTTTTTAATTTTTTTGCCTAATCATTAAAGTAGAGCCGAAATTAATATAAATTATTTTAATGTATTGAGGGTATCATTCATTATTTTAGTATCATAAAGTCAAGTTTAAATACATTTCTTATAACAGGAACAATACTTATTGATATTGTTAAGTATTGTGGAAAACAGGAAATGGGTCCAGTACAAATGAGTTAATCCATACTTATATTATAAATGTGTGTTTGTTGACACTTTTACGCCTAAACCACTTAACCTTAAACTTAGGAATTCCTTCACAAATGGAAAGCTAAATTATGAGTGAGTAACATAGGCTACTTTTTACGATAACCAACAGACACGCAGGCAGAACCGCGGGCAAAAGCTAATAGTTCCTCACCACTTCACTCACCTTCACCAAAAGCCTATAACAGTCCACTGCTGGACATAGGCCTCCTTAGAAAGGAGGTTTTAGCCTACTATACCGCGCTGACCAATAGTCATCAAGTTACGAAAAATCAATTTTTTCGAACAGTAATTTATAAATGAAAAATGATTCAATCAATATGAAATAAACAACCAATAGAGCTATTTATTTGTTTTGCACGTAGGAAAATACAATCGTTCATTTTATAGTAGAATAACCCAAGTCATTTGTTTGAAATACGCCTTTGATAAGGCAATTTCACTTCTCTGTACGACAGCTATTGTTTCTTACTCAAGTTAAATGACTATGTGTATCAGCGCATTTTTTTTTTCTTATTACAATAAACATTTTATATTTAAACAAGTGTTTGAGATTCTTCATCACTCATAAAAATTTTATTTAAAAGTATGTAATAATAAAAACTTATATATTAAATTATTTTAAAATAAAACTTAAATATGATTATGCGTTCAGTTCTGCCTTTGGGAACCTATCGTAAAATTAGGTGTAAGAACGTCCTTTTTAAAAAGGATGCAAAACCTACTATTGAAGTCTATTTTGGTTCAACATTAGGTATTTTTAAATCATATCTAATCTTTTTTTTTTGTCCACCAGAACGGGCCACTCTCTGCTACACACATTATACGGACAATCTCTTCGTTACGACTGCGAATACTTCATTGAATATTTCGCGCTTGACCTACTCATGGAAGATGGAGTCTGCAAGGGCTGCATTGCGATCAACCTCGAGGACGGCACTTTGCACAGGTATAATTAAAACTAAACTAGTACCATATTTCAGATTGTGTTCAAAGAAACTCATCATCATCATTGTAAAACACAGTCATGTTGCATTTCTTTTATTTAATTGTTTATAGGCAAAAGTAAAAACAAGTTATTGCTGTCAAATTAACCAGATTAAAAAAAAATGATACATTATGTATTTTTTGCAAGTTTCTTGTCAAATGTAAAGTTATAAAAAAATGGATTAAGTACATACTGTCGGTTTATGTAAATGTAAAACTCTTGTTTCTAAATGGTTCTATAAATCGCAAAGGTTCTATAAATGCCTTATGAGAATAAAATAAACATAATGTCTCTATGGACCACTAGACATATTGAGTCATTTTTACAGAGATATTTTTGGTCTGCAGACCTTAGGAGAAACAGTTAGCTTTTGGTAAGCAGGATTAATGTTTGGTATGAGTGGACCTCTGCAACTGACCTTTTCCGAGGGAATTTAGAGGAAACCCTGTAATTCTTCTATCCATACCTTCAAACGAGGTGATCTTTCAGCTTAGTAGAACATTCATCGTTTTAACTATCTTGCGGATAAATAGAAAAGAAACTGCTGCTGTCTCGGAAACATTTAACCATCTATCTTATATACAAATTTTCAAAATATTAAATATTTATATAATATCAATATATATATATATATTCAACAGCTATTAGTAGTCCAGTGCTGGACATAGGAGAGCCTTAGAAAGTAGGTTTTGGCCTACTGTACCACGCTGGCCAGACGGGTTAGTATAGGGGTTGGTTTTAAGGTTTTCTTCTCTTCTCCTATTAGTCGTGTAGTAATTAGTGTAATAAATTTAATTAACTTAATTGTTTATATTATATAATACTAAATACAGAGTGTCATCATCCCTATTCATTTCGTTGGTGCCGTAAAAGCCGATTAAGGAAGCAAACCACGCAGGACAACAGCACTGCAATGAGAAGGCACACTTGACACAAACCCTATACCACCCGTCTGGCCAGCGCGTGGTATAGTAGGCCTAAACCTCCTTTCTGAGGAGAGGCCTATGTTCATCAGTGGACTATTAAAGGCTGTTGATGATGATGATTGATGAGCTAATATTTTTCCCTTTTGTAGGTTTCAAGCGAAAAACACTGTCTTGGCCACAGGCGGCACTGGACGCTCGTACTTCAGCTGCACTTCAGCTCACACCTGTACGGGAGACGGCACGGCAATGGCGGCACGTGCAGGTCTACAGAACGAAGATATGGAGTTTGTACAATTCCATCCTACGGGTGAGTGTCTTAATACTTAAAAAGTGGAATAATAAGGAATATACATATAATATAACCAAGTCTTTGAAGTTCATTCAACCAGAACAGATTTGTGAGTGATACAGATGGGAACGATGATGTAGCTAACATAACTTTAATTACTGTACACCAATGCTTTGACCTACTCTGACACACATTGGTTTTACAAAGAAGTTAGAGATAAGATACATCTAATTACTGACAAGACTACGAATTTAAAGAAGACATACCGAATAACACAACATTATAATTATGAACATCTCACACACGCTATATAAACAACATTTACTACATTCAGTCACACACACAAACACACACTCCATACACAAAATTACATTCTTACTAAGTACATTTTAGGTTAATTTTAATATGCACTAATTCTGGTTCATTCACATAAAACGATGTGTACTCATGTTGTAGTTATTTAGTTAAATGTGTACTTCATAATTGGCGTATTGTTCGATTGTCACTGATGTAAACTATAGATTGTTAGCTGTGAAGAACCTAAGTATTAAATAAATAAACAAACCGTTAAAATACGAATGCCCACTATAATTTCATCTACATCTCTCTGATTCAGAGGAAGTGAAGTATGCTCTAGCATACTTCACATAAAGAATAAAAATAGGTATATATAAAACATACATTTAATTGCAAAAGTCTGCCGTGATCTATTGCTTGTAGTCCGACAAATGACTGACCGACCCTACCTATTCCAATTTTTTTATTGCAAAATTAATGAAGCACCCTATTTGTCCGAAGCCATCCAATAGATTCTCATTGAGTAGCATTAGAACTGAGATAAAGGAATATCAAAATAATGATACACCTCACACATGGCATCTATTCACAAACTAGACAGCCTTTTATAAATAGCCGTCTGCATATCTAACCACTAGACTCACCTAACCGTCTTATACCTACACTCTTTGAAACTATAATAAATATTACTGTAGTATAATTGTAAAATCGATATAATATCCTGCTTATTAACGTCATCAATAATGATAATGAAATGAAAAGTTACTAATATCTAATGGAACATTTATATCTCACGCATTTAAGTGGCACTTTCACATTATCACATTGCTTTCTTTATCGAGTAACAATTCGCTATCATCAAAATAGGCAATATATAGATAATCATATAGGTTTAGTCAAAACAACAACAACAACAGCTTATATTTTCCGTTATTAGCATAGTTTCTTGGTATAATTAATCCCAAAAGTAAAGATAAACTGCTATTTACGAAAATACGTCGATGACAGATTATCTTGAATGGAGATGTTGGGCAAAGGTTAATTAGTGTAATAACGAACGTGCTAGTACGAAATGTACAATCATATTTGTATTTCGGTTATTTAGGTATAGATACTTTATTATATTTGACTATAATTCATATACTTTTACAAATTTATTTCCATTATCAATTCAACTGTCGTCGTTAAACTTGGCGTGACTGAACATTCATATTTACAGCTTTGACCAAAAGTATTAGGCACCCCAGAAAAATGCACAATTCATGTTTACTGATTGAACAATGAATAAATGCTTATCTTAGATGGCATGCCGGGGTCACAAATAACTTCCTAGGAAAGCAAGCAGCTATCTGTTATGGTCATAAAACACCTGGTGACTGAAAACAAAGCATTTATAAATGTTTAGCATGCTAATTATTGTTGATAAAATTTGATCTTTTCAAGAAGCATAGATAATTATATTATTTATTATCACACAATTATAATTAATTTCTAGATTTTCGTAAGATCCTAATGTTAAAGAAAACATTTTCAATTAATTTCTTCATTTTACGGGTTAATAAACTCATTTTGTACAGTTGCTGATAACAACTACTAGAGATACTTACTTAATTATATAGTTAACTATATTTTCAAACATAGTGTTAGGAAACAGGGTATTACACAGTTGACGACTATGTTAATATTAAAAAAAAGGAAACTGCTCTGTTTATTACTTCCTAATAACTTATTTTTACATCAATACTAGCTGACCCGGTAAAAGTTGTTTTGCTATATACATTATTTCTATGAAATATTGAAAAAAAGATTGGGGTGGGTCACCATTGTCATTTGTATGAAATTGTCATACCCCTGTATGAAAAATAGATGTTGGCCGATTCTCAAACCTACCCGATGTACACACAAAATTTCATAAAAATCGGTCCAGCCGTTTCGGAAGAGTATGTAACTAACATTGTGACACGAGAATTTTATATATAAGAAGATAAATGTAATTGTTACGTGAAGGAACTATTTGTTTAGTAATAGCTTATAATTTCAATATTTTTGTAACTGTGTTGTGTTTTTTTAATGTATTTTTATTTATCAGAATATTTAAAAAAATACCATCTAGTTTCAAACTAAGAAGAGCTTGTTCTATGAAAGCTACAAGATTGACTGATGGAATACTTGTATATTTTATTTTTCTGTAAAAACATATAATAAAGAATTTATTATTATTATTATTTTATACATAGAGAACACTTAAACTCCGAAACAAATATTTATAGATCATACAAACATTTCCTACCCGGGAATCGAAACCGAGACCTTAGCACAGCAGTCGCATAAACTACAACTGCGCCTCCGAGGTAGTTTGTTCTTGCCATTGTTTCATAAGTGTACGCTGTAACCTGGATTAATAAAGTATTTTAACTGTTGATTTTAAATAATAATATTTGGGACATCTGCCACACAACACCATCTAGTTTTAAACTAAGCAGAGCTTGAACTATGAAAACTAGATTGACTGATAGAATACTTATGTACCTTTTTTTGTAAATACATAAATATTATATATAGAAAACACCCAAACTCTGCAACAAATATTATTAATTATTACAATAGGTAATATTCATTAATAAGTATCATAAAAAAAATATATGGTTATTATTGCTACTTGTAATCAATTTTATTTTATTGTATATAAAAAAAATATCGACACCTTCGAAAAATTTAGTCAATCACAATTTAATCAATCGGTTCAGCCGTTCTCGAGTTTTTGTGAGACTAAAAAACGTCAAATCACTTTTATAATATATGTATATAGATAGGTATGTTATGAAGTGTAAATCATCTTTAGATCTTTCCTAAAGACAAAAAAAGTACTAAAAATATAATATATGTAGAAGTTTGATTAAGCTTTTAACAATTATATTTAAAATCCATATATATATATATATATATAATTATAGTCTCTAAGTAATTTTTTTTCTTACTTTTTCACGAAAGAAAAACAATATTACCTGACAGCAAGTTGATATTTCAGATCCTGCAAGTAGTAAAATATTGTAAATATTCATATTTAAGTTAATTTTCTTATTTGTAATATTTAAAATTACCTTTATAATAGTTTTTAGAAAGTATCCGAAATACCTTAACAGTGAAGCAGGCTATGTAATTGCAGGTTTTAGTTCAGACAGAATCTTTAGACATTTAATAGACTAAAAACTTTAGACTGAACAATCAGATATTCTTAGTTCAGTGCAGTGTACAGTTATCTGCTAGTGCCATATGTAAGAGAAAAATAACCTTAAATAATGATATACCAGTCCATGTTTTGATTGTTGTATTTACGACTGCAACTTTATAATTAAGCAAACCGCTCGTATTTTGTTATATAACTAATTATATATATTTTTAAATTAGGCATCTACGGCGCTGGTTGTCTGATTACTGAAGGCAGCCGTGGTGAAGGTGGTTTCCTCGTAAATGCCAAAGGTGAAAGGTTCATGGAGCGTTACGCTCCGGTCGCAAAGGACTTGGCTAGCCGTGACGTGGTATCAAGAGCCATGACTGTGGAGATTATGGAAGGTATGCATTTGTAAATAATTATATAAATAACTAAAATAATGTAAGTAAAAAAAGGACATGATAACTATATACTGATTTGTTTAAAAACCAATCTCAGAGTCAAATAAAAACCATAAAACCAATTTGCCCGCGCTGCAACTTTATGTCAAATTGTGAATCACACATAAATAAAATAATCAATATTGGCCCAGCAGTTTAACACACATGCCAATAAAAGAATTATGTTTATAAAGATAAAAGTAAGTGCTGAGTGTATCAAGAAAGAGTTTAATTTTAAATCCGAACACATTGAAATTCGAACTTGTAATGAATTATAATTTAAGCAAATTGCTATCTAATATCTAAATAATATCCCAATGACAGATAAGACGAGACACCGCGGTCATTGAGGGGATAATGAATTGAGCTATATTTATGATATAAATATCTACATAAAAAAACTTTAACACTGACTACCTGAATATACCTGTATATATATATTTACCTGAATATGTAAACACATAGATTAAATCGACGAGATTAGTCATGAAATTGAACGCATTTAAAATCTCTGATATCTACTAACATATTCATTTTAATGACATGCTGTAAATCTAGGCTATTATAATCTATATTAAATGCACAACGTATCTAACGTATTTATTTGGATAAGGAATAATACTGTATTGCTCAAAATTGCTTCATAAATACTCATTATTATTTGTAAAATGTTAAAAATAAAAATGGTTGCTGTGGGTTATCCTTAGGAGATAGACATAAACCACAGCGGACTTTTTTGTAGATGTTTTTAAGATATAAATCATACCAATGAATTTGAAATAGTAATATTTAAAGTGAGTTCACTTTCTTAAATATCATTACAAAGTAAGAAACTTAGCAAGCACAGATTTGGCGACTCTGGCATTGCGAGTAATTGTAACGGTTTACCGTCAAAAATGACTAACAAAAACTTGACTGATTTGACCAGGTCGCGGTTGCGGTCCTGAAAAGGATCACGTACATTTACAACTGCATCACCTACCCCCGGACCAACTGAAACAACGTCTCCCAGGCATTTCGGAAACAGCCATGATCTTTGCAGGCGTCGACGTCACAAAGGAACCTATCCCCGTGCTACCTACAGTACACTACAACATGGGAGGCACACCAACTAACTACCGAGGAGAGGTAAGAATAGTCTACTAGACTGCAAATAATACCGATTTCTATTAAGTTCAATCGCGGACTGGAGACAATATACGAGAAATTTTTGTGTCGTCTACAAACCACAGAACAGGTACATTATTAACGAATAGGTATATTGTATACCTGTTTCATATTAATGTAATTATTAATATTAACTAATGAATACATACGGTACTAGTATGAGTTTCGTATTTGTAATTTACTTATACGAAATATTCTCTTGTTAACGTTAAAAGCGATTTAGCCGATTCAGGGCCTTTTGTGTTAAGAATTTACATCATTACGTAACATATAATGTGTTCGTAGAACCTGCCGCACACGGGTCGATAGTGCAATTAATCAGTATGAAAGAGGGAGTCAAAGAAATAAAGTAATTGTTTATAAAACATGAAGGAGAACATTTATAAACCTGACCTCAACTTGATAACAGGCGCGCGTGACGCAGTACGCAGTACTTTATAACAGATAGTCTTTTAATTATTATTGTATGGAAGTAATATAAGTAAAACGTACAAAATTCACTTCTCTTCGTGTGTAAAGTTATGATTTTTTTAAATTCTTAAATTGCAGATAAGTTAAGAGTTAAGAGCAAAAAGTAACACCGCAAGAGTCGCAAACGTTTAAAGTATTTAAGCTAGGCTAGCTCGTAACTTCATAAGAACATCATGTTGCTTTGGTTCTTAGAACTTGGTTCATCAAATATTATCTTGAAATGTATTTTTTGGCTATTTTACAATAGAGTAATATCCACACCATATCTCCTTATGATAAATCGTTCATTTAAACATAGACCAAAACCAAAATATGTTTTAAATCTTTAGTCATAAATTCAGGCTCATTATCTAATTTTAAGTTTGACAACGTGTTGGATAGACTAAAAGAAAACGTAGAATACGGTTCTACATCATAATACGTGAATTAAGTGGGTTCTTGGCAGAATGTCCATTTCCCAAATTGTCCAGCGGTCGCAAAGTCTCCAGTTCGCGGAATGTCCAGTTAACAGTATGTCCAGTCCGCAGAATGACGAATATTCATCCGGCTAGTGCCAGAACCGAACTGATTGCGTGAAAATTAAACAGTACGTTAGGTTGAGTTAGTACGTAATAGTGGTAGTCGACCAACAACCCAAAACCGATCTGCATTTTTATTTCGAGCTGAATCTAGGTCGTCAAAAACGCATCTCGTAATCAAGAAAGTTCCTTAATCCACAATTCACAATGCAACATTGTGAATTGAACTAATTGCTAAATGGACCAATTGAACATAATGCGCCCAAACCACAATGTGGAACCGTAAATTTGCAGATTGTAGGATTAATTTATCTATGTTACAATAGCCTAATGTCAACGTAAGGTAACGTCCTATTATAAATTGCTTGCATTTACGAATTAAAATAGCTTGGCAACCATGTTTAATGAGAAGGGTCAGCGTCAGGTAGGCAGCCGGCTATAAAACACCCTCACCTAAAAATATTGAGAAAAGAGCAATTAGATTAATACGAATACCAATAAATAACAAGCTCCTCTAACCATCGCTACTATTCAAAATTTACTTTTTTTTCAGGTGATAACCCACTACAATGGTCAGGACCGCGTGGTACCGGGTTTGTTCGCGGCAGGCGAAGCTTCCTGCGCATCAGTGCATGGCGCCAATCGTCTCGGCGCTAACTCTCTGTTGGACATCGTCGTATTCGGCCGCGCATGCGCTCTTACTGTAGCTGAAACCAGCAAGCCGGGTGATGCTCAGGGACCTCTGAAGGACGTAAGTAGTGCATTGCTGATAATTTTAAAATACATACATATGTATGCTAATATGATAACATTTAAATGGCGTTTTGTCGTTTATCTCCCACATAGTTTAGCTACCTCGCTCAGCTTTAGAGAAGCAGCTGTCACTTCCTATTCGAAGAGATTTTGTTTGTTTGGTTTGTGTACGCTTCTAAAACGCAAATAATAATGCACCGATTGAGCTAGATATAAGATATAATCGTTGTTTTTTTACAAAAAATTACCAAAATTAAAAATGCAGAAGTGAGTTATTAGTACGTTTTTATACCCTAACTACTAAATAATCGTCATGAAATGATATCCGCCACTTTCTATGGGTGTTTCATCCATCTTTTGGTATAGGGGGGCAAACGAGCAGATAGGTCATTTGATTTTAAGAGACTATCGTCGCCCATGGACACCTGCAACTCACATTCACAAGAGCGTTGCTGCCCTTTCAGTCCCTCCCTTCAGGATCAAAAGGGGTTTGGGCTCTGGTAACTTCACTCATTCACGAGCCTGGCCCATATGTACTGAGGAATGGATCTCCCACAAAGAAATATATAACATCATAGAAGATAATATAACATTATAACATAACAATTTATATTATATCCTTACTTTAGGATCGTGCCTAACCTAAACACGATTTTTATCACAGATAAAATAATTACTTCGTCCAATGTCAACAAGCGGATTGAACTGCGACAGTCCATTTATATATAAATTAATTTAAAAAAAATGTTTATTTTGATGTTGATTTTATTTATAGAAATACTGTAGAAACTAATATTTATTCAGATCTGGGTCTAAAATATGTGACGTCAAGTCTTTTTATTAGGAACTTAAAACTCAATTTCACACAATAATTTCAGATTTTATAATCAAAAAAGGACATATTGAAAACTAACCAAACTAAAGCTCCAAACTAAAACTAAGCGCTCACTGCACAGTTCCAACAATAACAATAAAAAATTTACATATGGTAAGAAATTATTACAAAAGATTGAAGATTGTCAAAAAGTTTTTGTAAAGATTTTTTTTCACATTAGCATGTGAAAAAAAATTTTGCTAGCTTATCGCAAAAACGCAGATTGCCACTTCAATATTCGAATATTCCAAATTAACTACAACGTTTAAGAAATGCAGCATTCTTCCTATGTTTCATTCCGCAAAGAAATACTATTCTCTATAATTTGAAAATATAATTAACGCGAGTGAAGCCGCTTGAGTACGTTATAATACATTACCTACCGAGATACTATAATATAATGTGCTGTTTAAAAGCCGTTCAACTGAAAGTGACAGTCGATTGGTTGCCTCGTAAATAATCTTGATAACTGCGTAAGAATATATTGACATAGGGTACGTGTCTGCCTCCGTCACTACAAAGCATTTAATGATTACTTTATACTGCCCTAGTTTAAAAGACTAAACACTTCTTCTAGAACAATAAGTTTTTAGTTGCTTACGTGAACCACTTTTGTAAAGTAATCGCTATATATAATTTATTTCCCTTTTTTTTCAGGCATTGAATAATGTCAAAATAGAATTTAATGTGATTTAATTTAATGTTAGATGTGCACACAAAATTTCATTAAAATCGGTTCAGCCGTATGAAGGAGTGTGGTAACTAACATTGTGACACGAGAATTTTATATATAAGATAAATATATAGATTTTATGAATACAGAATGTCACTACCCCTATTTATCCTGTGGGTGTCGTAAGAGCCGACTAAGGGAGCAAACTACGCAGGACAACAGCACTGCAAAGAGAAGGATAACTTGACACAACCCCTATACCAACCCGTTGGGCCAGCGTGGTGTTGTAGGCCAAAACCTCCTTTCTAAGTAGAGGTCTATGTCCCGCAGTGGACTATATAGGCTGTTGATGTGATGTGACTCTCTCGCACTGCCGTTTTTTTTTACCTTACATACCCAAGGAAAGATGGCGTCTCCCGGGAAATCCAAATTCGAAGGGATTTGCAACCCACTCACTACAAAAAAATACTACAGTTATTATATTAATATTAATTTGGCATTATTTAACGTTTTTCGAATTAAATACTAGTTTCTGGCTAAAGAACTAAAGGATTTTGCTTTTTGTTTGTGCTGACTTTAGACTTACTGAAAATAATCACGTTGACATGCGACTTGATTTTTTTGTTTTTGGATATTTCTCGATTACTTATCGGGGTTAATGATAAGACGTTATCAAATGTTAGTTTATCTCCTACATTAGGTACACGTTATCGTAGTTTTAAAAATAGAACAGTAATTATGCTTGTGTTTCTTTCATGTCCTCGTATATTTTTCTGTTAAAAAACTATTATACATTGTATTTCTTATTACAAAGTAAAACTACGTACAATACTACATAATGCACAACTGGTCTTATTTTATGATTATTTTGTTTAGTCTACTGGTGAAGCCAGCATCGCCAACCTGGACCGCATTAGATACGCTAACGGTAACATCTCAACAGCAGACCTTCGCCTACGCATGCAGAAGTGCATGCAGACTAATGCTGCTGTCTTCAGGCAGAAGAGCACGCTCGAGGAAGGTAAAATTGTGTAACTTTAATTAAAAAAGCTTCATCGGTAATGATTAATAAGCAATAGCAATCATCTTTAGCAATCACCTTACATTGTGTTTATAAGACCAGCACTCGGGATGTACTTCTATATATAGACAATATTTTTTTCAATTATAACACCGAGGCATCATAATTATTTCCCACGTTTGTGTACAGGCCAGCGTCAAATCCACGACATATACAAGCAGATTAAAGACGTGAAAGTATCCGACAGATCCTTGATCTGGAACAGCGATCTCATCGAGACGCTGGAGCTACAGAACTTGCTCATCAATGCAGTGCAGATAGTGGAAGGTGCCCTCGCCAGGGAGGAGTCCCGAGGTGCTCATGCTCGTGAGGACTTCAAGACTAGACGAGATGAGTACGACTACTCCAAGCCTCTAGAAGGACAGGTGAGATATTTAACTTACCAATGTTATTATTTTTATGGTTAAGCTCATTTTTTTATGGTATAAGCAGACGGGTCACCTGATGGTAAGCAACTACCGCCGCCCATGGACACCTGCAACTCAAAAGTCACACGCCCTTGGAGTCCCTCTCGCTCGAGTCAGCGGGAGGGGGGATTTGGGCTCCGGTAACCTCACTCACTCAGTGAAAGGCAACGAAAGAATTGCTTAACAACCGGTTGTGTATGAGGCCGTGGTAGCACTCCGTTCGAGCCGGCCCATTCGTGCAGAAGCATGGCTCTCCCACGGTATAAGTTTATATATGCGTTCAAAGGCCAATTCTCATAATAAAAATTAGGTCTAAATTCAGTTCCGATCATCTCTCGATCTCACAACTGTCATAGAAGGTATTTTCATAGTAAAATAGTAGAGTATTGTGACGGAATTTTTATTACGAGGCCTTCAACTGGCCTAAAAGCAACAGCATTGCTTTACTAAGTTTTTTTTTTATATTTTCAAGTACACATCTAATTGATAGGTATTGCAGGTCTTTGCCATCTTCTTTATTCAAGGATAAAACTGTCCTTTGTTCATACTTTTATAATCATCTACTACTATGGTAGTAGTAACAGATATTAATCCATAGTATATATCCGAAAACCTACTGACCTTTTTAGCGATGCAGAAAGTTAATCAAATAGTTTATATAAATTAAATAATTGACATTATGTTCGATAAACTACTCCTTTTAACTATCCATTGTACGCAGTCTCAAATACGTTTCTTTAAATGAGCTGTTTATGCATACTTTATTAATACTTACTGATTTTGTTTTATTTTTTATTTTTCTTTTTATTTATATACAACCGGCATACCGGTAAACGATTAGAGGAGTCTTATAACAGATTTTTAAATTTATTTTACATTTATATTTTGTATTTATTGTCTTATATTTACACTACATTTATATTTTAATACTTACTACTTTATATTGCTATTTTATTTAAATTAGATCTAATAGTATACATATATTCCTCATTTATACGATACAGAAGATATATTTTTATACTCTGTATGCCTCCAATGACTTCATTTACCGATAACAGCGACACTGAGGATTATTTCTCGGTATGTAGTGGTGATGTCAGTTACATAAGTATTCCTTCACTATAGTCCATCAACGTCGTGCGCGACCGTCCTGCGGGGTGACAGACGGTGGCGGGGACAAGGTACTCAATATGTCAGCGGGTAGCGGGTGGTGTAGCGGGGAAGGGAAACACTTCTCTTCGTGTGTAGCCGTGTGCTAGAATGACGCCTACCTCGCCCCCGCCACTGTCTGTCACCCCGCGGGACGGTCGCGCACGAGATTGCCGGGTTATAGCGGAAACAATCTCGGCTCAGTTTTCTGAACCAGGAACTTCAATGTCGTTCACATAATTGCCCAAAGCGTTCCGGCACACTTCGGTGATAAGCTAACTAGCTTAAACTGTACGAACATACACGCCATCCTTATATCGGCATCTTAGCTAAAGCCAAGCCTATCTGCTACAACGTACTCGCTACCCGGCTTTCAGTTGGTGCGGAATGATTGTGTGGACGAGGCGGTGGTGTTGCCATATATATCCGTACCCACATTCCTTTCCCTATCGTTAGTATGTCATCTCAACCACCCCCTGCAAATGCTGACGAGCATATTTTCATGGAAGCCGTAATTCTACACTCAAAGATACTTCTCTATGGTGTCTATTCTAGCCTCTCCTTGCGAGTACATTATTTCTCTTCACGTACCAGCACCTTGGTTGACTGATGAAATCATGAAATTCCAGAAAAGGAAAGAGGGGTTTATTCTAGGTACAAGGGTCACTAGTACCTTAAATTGGGATAAATTTGTCATTATAGAAATCACTGTAATAAGGTGTGAAGGAATGCTCAACGCTGACACGTTCACAAATCTATTGAAAACGGTGATCCAGCTAAAGTCTGGAAATATTTCAAGTCATTAGATAAATCACACTTAAATTCTCCTTCAAAAAAATGTTTTATTTATTTATTTATTTTATTTATTTATTCTTTATTGTACACACTGAACACATACATATATATAAGTAACAAGGAAATGTTATGTACAAAGGCGAGCTTAACCCAAAACTGAGTTTTCTTCCAGCAAACCTTGAGTGAATAGAGGACAACAGAGAAACGTAAGGGCACAGTCATGCGTACGTAGGAATCAACACAGAAAAGCATAAAAATTAAACAAATACCGACATAAATTAGGATAGCAAAATATATTATACGTTTACAAACATACATACCAAGGGTCTGATTATACACACACATACATACATACCAAGGGTCTGATTATTGAAGGGACAGATAATAATCCCTGGTTCTCCTCCTGAACACGCTAGGAGAAGGGCTATTGCGTATTGCACGCGGTAAGGCATTCCATAGTCGAACAGCTGCAACGCTAAAAGAGTTGTCATAACGACTCGAAGTGTGGGAGGGAGTTCGAAGGAGGAGAGAAGAAGAAGAGCGACAAAGATTGTTCCTGGGAATAAAGTGCTCGAAGCGCTCACGGAGATATGAAGGACAAGTGGGGTTGTATAAAGTTGAATAGAGTAAGGAAAGAATATGGAGATCTCGACGCCGCCGAATAGGTAACCAATTTAGCTGTTTCCGAAATTCCGAAACATGATCGAACTTTTTAAGACCAAATATGAAGCGGATACAGAGATTTTGTAACCTTCTAGCTTACCCCAGAGTTCTTCGGTAGCGTCGAGAAAAGAAACATCAGCATAGTCAAGAAGGGGAAGAAGCAGGGATTGAGAGAGGAGGACTTTAGTCTGAAAAGGAAGAAAATTTTGAAGACGTTTGAGAGAGTGATATGTTCCAAAAACCCTTTTACTCACCTCTGTAATGTGTGTGGTCCATGACATGTTGCAGTCCATAAAAACCCCGAGATTTTTTACTTGTGTCGAATATGGTATAACAGTCTTGTTATAGGACACTGGAGGAAGTGAAGTGTGATCAAGGCTATTATACATGTACCTGCCACCAATAATGATAACTTGAGATTTAGCGGGATTGACAAGCAGCCCGAACGATTTTGCCCATGTACATATGTTTTGCAGATCATTATTGATGGCAGTGACGGCTTCTGTGATTTCATCAACCTTGAAATGGCGGTATAGCTGCAAATCGTCTGCATAAAGATGATAACGAGAAGAAATAACTTTGGTGATTTCATTAATGAAAATGGAGAAGAGTAGAGGAGATAGTACGCCACCCTGGGGCACGCCTGCAATAAGGTCACACCAGTCAGAAGATGACTCATCCGTGCGAACCCGAAGATAAGAATTGAACCAGGCGATTACAGAATCAGATACATTCAGAGACGATAGGGTGCCCAAGAGGATGTCAAAATCAACAGAGTTAAAGGCGCTGCTGAAGTCCAGTAGTACCAATACTGTCAGTTGTTTATTTTCCATAGCGAATCGTAAATCGTCTGTTATTTTAACTAAGGCGGTTACAGTACTATGGCCAGCACGAAAACCAGATTGGTATGGACTCAACAGGCTATTAAAGGAAAGAAAACTGTTCAGTTGACTCCGGACAATCCTCTCAAGCACTTTGGAAAGGATCGGGAGAATGGATATAGGTCGAAAATGAGATAGGAAGGGTTAGCAGTTTTAGGTAAGGGGATAACATGGGCCTTCTTCCAGGATGATGGAAACACGTTTTCTTTGAGAGAGAAATTTATGATATGAGTGATAGCTGGAACGACGTCACTTACAATAGGCCGCAAAATTTGTTGTTGAATGCCATCATCACCTATTGCTTTTGTGGAGATAGATAGGATATGTCTCTTAACGTCACAGCCTGTAACCGGTTCAAACGAAAATGAGGTACATTGAGGCAATGGAAGACCAGCTAGATAGCTAAGAGTAGATGCCTTGTCTGAAGTATCTACACAAGCCGGTGAAGTGGAAAAATGCCTATTCAGCACATTGAGATCAATAGTAGTTGAAGTGTGGTTAGTCGCTTTACCAATACCAAGAGATCTAAGGAATCGCCATACCTGTGGTGAGTTGAAATTTTTAATGGAATCGTGAATGTGGCGTCTTTTCGCATCCCGACACAGACGACTGCAGCGATTTCGGAGAACTTTATAGACTGACCAATTCTCATCCGAAGAGTTATTTTTATATCTTCTCATGGCTTTATCGCGCTTGACCATTAGATGCTTAATTTTTTCGGAAAGCCAAGGAGCAGGAAGATTCTGAACTCGTTTATCGAAAAGATCCAAGCGTATTTTATTGAAATTTTCAATTTTAGTGTCAATATCGCCACAATTGTATATAGGAGACCAATCTATTTTTTCGACATCCCCTCTCAAACATGCTTCATCAATGTTTCTAAAACTGCGTAAAACAATGTATTTAGGCTTAGGTTTAGGAGAGATAGTTTTGTAGGAGAGAAAAATCAGGTCATGGTATGAGAAGGGAGCAGAAAGTTGTCCATGAGCGGCAACTTTATTAACATCCGAAACGAAAATTAGGTCTAAGAGAGAGGGATTAGAATGAGGAGCGTGATGTGTTGCGTTTAACGGGAGAATATGCATGTTAAGTGAGGAGACCAGGGACCGGAGTTTTCGGCTGCGTACATCATTATTGAGTACACACGTGTTAAAATCCCCAAGAATAATAGTATCACTGTATAAGGGTGATAAATTTTCCAGCTTGGTTTCGAAAGACGAGAAATAGTCAATATGACAAGAAGGGCTATAATAAACACCCACTAGCAATTTAGTGTGATGGAAATCCATTTCTAGGAAAAGGTGTTCTGCAAAGCCAGAGTAATTGCTAGGGGACTGATCAATGACTGTAAATGTGAGATCAGATCGTAAATAGATTGCAACCCCACCATAGCCCTTGCCAGTTCTGTCATTTCGTATAAGCCGGTAGCCTGATAATGCATATTGTGAAGAAGGCAACGTAGGTTTAAGG